GCAGGGCAGATAGGGGCGAGCGAACGAGGGGTTGAGCTGGCAGTGATGCTCAGGTCCTTCAGCAGGCACACCTGGCAGGGAGAATGAAAAGATAAAATCGACATTCACAAATCGAATGAAGAAGAATGTTTCTTCTCTCGTTCCCTGGCAACAAGCCAGGTTGTGCATGAGATGAGCCCACGAGAGAACTCACCTTGATGCAGTCGTAGCGGTGGATGATGCCCATGACGTTGAGAAGTTGGCGCTTGTACTCGTGGATGCGCTTCACTTGCACATCGAACATGGCGTCGATGCTCACCTGGGGAAGGGGACGGGATGGGAAGGGGCGGGGACCGGGAGGGGAAGGGGAGGGACCGGGAGGGGAAGGGGGGAGGGAAGGGATGGGGGGCGAGAGAGGAGGAGAGGGGGCTTGTACTCGCATATGTGCTTGACTCGTGCGCCAAACACGTTGCCGATGCTCGCCTTTTGACTGGATTCAGAGTACTGATGCTACGGACCAGGCAACATTGACCTAAGCTGGAGACGGGGTGGGGGGGTGGTGGAGAAGACTAAAAAAAAAACTGACTAGCAGCAGAGTAGCAACCGACTAGCGGCAGAGTAGCAGCCGACTAGCAGCAGAGTAGCAGCCGACTAGCAGCAGAGTAGCAGCCGACTAGCAGCAGAGTAGCAGCCAACTAGCAGCAGAGTAGCAGCCGACTAGCAGCAGAGTAGCAGCCGACTAGCAGCAGAGTAGCAGCCGACTAGCAGCAGAGTAGCAGCCAGAAGAAAAGGCCGAGTGAAACTTTTGGACGACCATGACCCAAGGACGTGGAAGACAACAACTTGCCAGCTGTTGCCTACTGATCAGCTTACCTTGACCCCTGATATCCCTTCGATGTATGCTGCCAGACGCGCCTTGTTCTGCCTGCGAACCTGGTGATGTCGACATGCACGCATACACGCATGCACGAGCACACACCGACAGACATGCACACACACATGCATGCATGAGCATGCACCGACAGACATGTACTACACACACATGCATGCATGCATGCACCGACAGACATGAGCACACATACGCGTGCATGCGCACGCAGCGACAGACATGTACACACACATGCATGCATGAGCACAGACCGACAGAAATTTACACACACATACATGCACGCGCACACACCAACACACATACAGACATGCAGACATGCAGACATGCACGCAGAAGCATGGCGGCACAGAGGCGCCGAAGCACATATCAGCATGTGAAACAACTGGTCTGCACACGAATGGCAAAGCTCACACCAAGCCCACCCATACAGGTGGGAGATCAACGGGGAGAACACATTCACAGCCTAGTGCAGCACTGTGGTGGTAGTGAACAATGCACATTGCACGCTGCAAGGTAACGCCTGGGCAAAAAAGAAATCAATAAAGTAAGCCGAATCAACCCCTGAAGGATAAAGCATTTTGCATTACTGCGGCTGCAGCACCCCTACCTGCATCCGCAGCAGCCACAGCACCCTACCACTGGGCCCTACCCTACCTGCATCCACTGCGTCCTGCAGCAGCGGGTCGTCCACGTGCTCCCTTGAGTCCCGCCACCGAGGTCCAGGTTGGTGATCCACGACTCCGTGCCCAGCCACTTGGTCAAATCGCCGCCAGCCCTGGGTTGCAGAACGCCAGCCACCGACGCTGAGCGGGGAGATGGAGAGCGTGGGGAGCGAGAGGGGATAGAGAAGAGGGACGAGCTCGTGGGGACCGGCGCGAAGAGGAGGAAGGATGGGCGCCGGCGCCATCTGAGTCAAGCTAGGCATGCCCGACAGCGATTGGCACGCCACTCTGTGATGGAACGACAATAGTGCTGGGCGGGCAGACAGCTGTACCTGGACGACAGTGGTGCCGGGCAGACAGCTGTACCTGGACGACAATGGTGCCGGGCAGACAGCTGTACCCGGCGACAATGGTGCCGGGCAGACGCTGTACCTGGACGACAACCGGTGCCGGGGCAGACAGCTGTACCTGGACGACAGTGTGCCGGGCAGACAGCAGTGATGGGTACACCACCAAGGCAGGGTCTCCTGTGGCTCACCTGGGTGACACCGTTTGTCTTGTTCTGGAACTTGTGCGGCCAGATGTCATAGAAGTCCTGCAGGAGGGCGGCGAGGAGGCACGGTTGAGCAACACACCCACACGTGCTCATACACAAAAACCAGATTGTTACCGCGCGCATGCAATACTGCATTGCAGATACAACTCAGATACGAATCTCCAAACAGGCATTGCACAGTTGTATCCATCCATCCATCCATCCATCCATCCAGCCAGCCAGCCAGCATCCATGCCCTCTGCTCTCTTCTGCCATTCTCTCTCCTCCCATCTCTCTCTGCTCTCACCTCGAAAATAGTGGAATGAGGCACGGATCTCATGCATCTCGGTCAGTATGGATCTCTTTCGCGCACAGGGGCGAGCACGCATGCATGCACGGGCGTAAGCCCCGCCATTCATGCTCTCTGTGCGTATTGAGTCGATGTTTTAGTCGACTCATTAAAACGACTCATTACGCACCATTCATGCTCTCTGTGTGCAATGAGTCGATGTTTGAGTCGACTCATTACGCACCATTCATGCTCTCTGTGTGTAATGAGTCGATGTTTGAGTCGACTCATTACAACGACTCATTACGCACCATTCATGCTCTCTGTGCCCACCTTGAAGAGCGTGTTCTGGATGAGGTCGGTGTGGATCTGGGACACGCCGTTGATGGTGTGGCACGTCACCACTGCCAGCGTTGCCATGCGGATGCTCTGGGGAGGAGGGGGCAAGGAGGGGGAAGGAGATGTGAGAGGAAGGATGGAACACTTAGCAACCAGCCATGGTATGGCATGTCCATACTGCCAGTGTCGCCAGCCATGGTGTGGCAGAACACCTTGTGTGCGCCCTCCTCACCTTGTGAGCGCCCTCTTCTCCCCCCACCCACCTTGTGCGCGCCCTCCTCTCCCCACTTGTGCGCCCCCTCCTCTCCCCCACCTTGTGCGCGCCCTCCTCTCCCCACCTTGTGCGCGCCCTCCTCGTCTCACCTTGTGAGCGCCCTCCTCGATGATGGACATGCGGGAGAGGCGGTCGTAGTCGTTGCCAATGCGCTTCTTCAGGTCCACCGATGAAGTTGTGGTTGATGTCGTACATGATCTGGGGGGGAAGCGGGGGTGGGAGAAAAGAGTTGGGCAAGGGGGAAATTGTGATTTGAAACATCTCAAATGACCAAGTTTGTGGTTGATGTCGCACACAATCCCGGGGTCAGTGGGCAGCCGGCGGGGTTGGGGGAGGGGGGAGGGGGGAGGGGAAAGGGAGAAGATAGAGAGGGAGAAGGTAGAGACGAGGCGGTCAACAGGGGACATGAGAACATTTTCTAAGCGCCTCGAAATTCCAACTCCAGATGGCAGGGCAGCAGGGTCTTGAGGATGTCAACCGGCCATTCTCCAGCGCCTCTGGCAGCACCGTGTGACTCGTATACGAGAACGTGTGCGTCGCAATGACTTTGGAGTCACCTGAAAGAACCCCAACGCCCAACCCTGCAGCCTCACCTCCAGATGGCGGGGCAGCAACGTCTCAAGAATCTCAACGGGGCCATTTCTCTAGCGCCTCTGGCAGCACGGTGTGGTTGGTGTAGGAGAAGGTGTGCGTGGTGATGTTCCACGCGTACCCCCACTCCAGCCCCTCCTCATCCACCAGCAGGCGCATCAGCTCCACCAGCGCCAGCACGGGGTGGAGTGTCGTTCAGCTGCAGGGCCACCTTGTCCTTGAACTGGTCAAACGACGAGTGCTCTTCTTTGTAGCGCCTGACGACATCCTGCATGGTGGTGGACACGAAGGAAGAAGTGACTTTCGGATGAAGATGAGACATTCAGCTGCAGGGCGACCTTGTCCTTGAACTGGTCGAACGACGAGTACTCCTCCTTGTAGCGCCGCACCACGTCCTGCATGGTGGCGGACACGAACAAGTGACCTTTGAGACGAACAAGTGTCCCACTCTACTCTACTCCTGACGACATCCTGCATGGTGGTGGGACGAACAAGTGCTGCTGCTCTTAGATGCGAGTTACATCTACTCTACTCAACAAGCAGATGAAATGGTTTTGAGGCGCCTCAAAACTCAACAAGCAGATGAAATGGATCGACGGCACTAAGGTTTGCTGTGGACCTGTGGTGCGTTCCAAACCCTTGTAGTACGTGCCTGCATAGTGGCGGAGACGAAGAAGTGCTGCTGCTTGAGGCGCAGCTCCTTGCCCTGGTACGTGCGGTCGTCGGGGTACAGCACGCTGCTGATCGCCTCCGCCTTCTGCTTGCTCAGAATCGCGTTCACGTAGTCGCCCGTGTTGAAGCTTTGCTGGGGGGAGGGGGGGGGGGAGAGAGAGGGCGGCCCATGAGAAGGATGGTGAGATGGCAGTAAAAGAAGGGGATGTGGAGAGAGAAGGTGGCAGGAGGATGAAGACGCAGAGATGGCAGGAGCAAGGAGAAACGCCACCCAATGAACCACGCAGAAGACGGTGCAGTTTGAGAGGCACCCGAGTGCATCTTGGTGTCTCGGAACTGAACAGCTTGGTGTTGGACGGCACACACACCATTCGCTGCAGCCCTACCAGGTCAAACTCGCCGCTGGGCTTTGCACCCCAGAGGCGAAGGTTGATGGTGTTGTTGGTGTGGTAGCCGGGGATGGGATTGTCGTACGCCACCGCCTCCACCTGTTGGAGGACAGCGTAGGGAGGGAGAAAGAGGAAAAGGGGGGGATCAAGACAGAAGATGAATGAATGAAATGAAATCACATAAAGAAACGGCGTCAGGAGAACCGACAAAAGGAAGGAAGAAGAAGGAAAGTAAAAAAAAAAAACGAGAGAAGGAGGGAAGGGGCGGGCGGAGGGGGGAGGGGGGGGGGGAGGGGGAGGGGTAGAAGAGAGAAACGCAGTGCTGACCGTTTCTCCCTCCACCCATCTCTTGCGGGGGTGGCCGCCCTCAGTGTACGACTCGACGCTGCCGTAGAAGCGCACGGGGTACGTCACAAACACGCGCTCGATCTCCCACGGGTTGCCAAAGGTCAGCCAGTAGTCCGGTTGCTCGTGCTGAAAGCCGTCCTGCAGGGTCTGGCGAAACATGCCGTACTGGTAGCGGATGCCGTAGCTGCAAAGGCGGGGGGGTGATAGTGAGAGCAGTTTGGTGCAAGGGACATGATGATTTGCATCGAAAGGTCATCCAGCAGCGTCTGGGGAAACATGCTGTACTGGTAGCTGGGGCGGGGAGTGGTGTGGGGGAAGTAAGGGGGCGGGGAGTGAAGGGAAGGGGAGTATGAAAGAAGAAAGGTGGCGAATCGAGGTGGAGCAAAAAAGTGGAAGCGCTGTGTCATGAACAGGATCATCAAAGCACGCACTGGCCAAAAAAGGTTCTTCAACAGGTGAGTTCCCGATGTTAGCTCTGAAATCATCAAATTGGTTGCTTACCCCCATCCAGGATAGTTGAGAGTGGCCATGCTGTCGAGAACGCATGCTGCCAGACTGTCACAGACAGGACAGGCAAGAAGGAAGCCGTGTTAGGCACGCCTCAAGACACAGAAGCACAAGGAAAAGTGACAAGCGAGCTAAATTGGACAGCAGCGAGCACGCTTTACCAGGTGCTGGAGAGAAAAACGCGTCACAACCCCAATGCCAAAATAACAATGTCCACATGACCCGCTTATGTGCTAAAATGCAGCAAAAGGCTAGGCAGCAGCAGCAGCAGCAGCAGCAGCAGCAGCAGCAGGGGACGACTCACCGGCCGAGGCCACCGTTGCCGAGAGCAGCATCCCTCTCCTGCTCCGCCAGGACCTCGAGCTTGTACCCCAGCTGCCCCAGCGCCTCCACGTACTGGTCCTTCATGCCCAGATTGAATATGCTGTTCAGCAGCGAGCGGCCTGCAGGTGACCAGGAGCGATGTGGTGGTCAGGAGAGAGAGTCATGAGTGGCAAGCCATGCAAACAGTGCAGGCTCATCAGAACTGCACACGCTTTCTGGCACACGCGCTTGGATTCCTGGTCCGTGTCGACGTGCTATGATGCCTCGAGGCAAATGCGTGCTGGCATGGTGCCTCGCCCTTGGCGCTTACCCATGAGGAACTCCATGGAGAGGTAGTACACGCGCTTGGAGTCCTGGTCCTTGTCCATATGCTATGATGCCTTGAAAGGAATGCTATGACGCCTTGAAAGGACTGCTATGACGCCTTGAAAGGACTGCTATGACGCCTTGAAAGGACTGCTTGCTGGCATGGTACCCGCGCCCTTGGCTCTTACCCATGAGGAACTCCATGGAGAGGTAGTAGACGCGCTTGGAGTCCTGGTCCTTGAAGTACTGCTGCGTGTCGTTCCAGCTCTCGATCAGCCGGTCCCGCACGCTGTATGCCGTCGCCTGGGGACAGGGAAGGACAATTGACGAATGTTAACTTGTGCCGCCGCCGTCTTGACATGTCGCCGTCTTGACATGTCGCCGTCGTCCGGGACTACCAGGAGACGGAAAGAACGAGGAGGATCCTTCCCAACTTTGTTGAGATTCTGGCTGTATCCTCGCGCTCACCTGGTACGCCTCGAAGTCGTCGAACTTGTATCGGCTGCGCGCCATGGTGTACTCCACGTGGTCCACGATGCTCCTCTGGATGGACAGCACGTCGTTCTTGATGTACGTGTCCATCAGGTTGTGCAGCAGCTCCGTACGCCGTTTCATCTCCGGCGAAGCAGACGGGTCCAACGGCGCAACCGGTCGGATGAGTCTCGCCGGCCGGACGGACGAATCTTTCGGCCCGTCGCTCCCTTGGCATCTAGAACCATCGCTCGCACCACGCACTTGCGAATGTTTTCCAGATCGCGTTTGTTGGTGACTTTTTTTCCGTCCATGGCAGTGACGTGAAACGCGTCGGCGACGTTACCGTCATCGTCGAGGTCGACGACTGCCTTCCCGACGTCCAGACCGAGATCGCGAAACGTCAGCGTCAGAAGCTGAAGCAGCCCCGGCCGGTTGGGCGCGCTGACGGTGATGATAGTGTACTGATCGCTGCTCTCGTTGTCCACTGACACATCGGGCTCGCCGGGAGCTGGGGGTTCGCGAGAAGACCTTGCTGAAATCTAACAACAACGAAATCTCGCCGTCCGCGCGAGCTCGAACCTGAGCGCCGCGGCTCTTACGCGAAAATCCATCTCTGTCGGTGTTAATTCTCCGACCCGTTGCAGAAGAACGGCGGAGACTAGATGGAACCTTCACCGCGAGCTTCGGATGCGAGATCCCGAGCCCGAGGAAGCTGCTGGCAGCGCGAAGAGCGCCTGCCATGATTACTAAAACAACGCGATGTTAAAGATCTGGATTATCGGCAGAGCCACTTGAATCAAGCGAGTTTCAGCGTCGCCACGGGTAATGCTCGCGGCTCGCGGCAGACACCTGAGAGCCGAAGCAGCACAGGCGTCAGTCAGCAGGCTGAAGGTGAAGTATGTGGGGAGGGGAGGGGATTGATGGAGTGTAAGATGGGGGAGGGAGGGAGATGAGCAAGATGGGATGTCTGATAGAACGAGAGCTCGGATCGACAAGAGAGGAGGACCTCGAAGTTCTCCCGACTCCCGAGCCAACCTAGAGAATTTCGAAACGTCATAGTGTACAGCACTTCCTTGGGACCTGGTGTTCATTACAATCTCATGACGTTGCACTGGATGAGGCCTGAAACGAGTGCAAAGCGCTGTTGCCGTCAGACAAGTCAGTCAGCCTTTTCTGATTGGATACTTTTCCTCGTGTTTTGGGGCCGCCGTTGACAAAGATCTCATCTGCCCCTCGCCTTCGCCCATCCTCGCTAGAGTATGATTTACAATCCTGCTGGTTGAACCCTTTTCCGTCAAGGAAACATTCCAACCAACTGTGGAAGATAAAGCCGATCCAGAGTACCGCTCGGTATGTGGGTTAGACGAGCCCTACATTTACCATCCTCAACAATCTATGGTTCCTAAAACATTCCGAGACATGTCATCTCTCATACACCACTTTGAGCTTTGATACAAGCACATCCATTGAAGGTCGTGTCTCCCACTTCCCTGCAACCGCATACTTCACCAAGGTTAAGGCCATAAGCGCATCTTTCTTCGTCCACTGCCCAGCCAGTGTTGGATCCAACACTTTCTCAGCTTCGGGCAGGTCAGCCCCCGTGGCAAGGGTCATTCTCAACCCCTCAAAGTTCTTGTCAGTGACCAACATGCCCGACACAAGCTCGAGGAGGAAGATCCCAAATGCGTACGTATCGCATTTGGCATTCAAATGACCTGCACCAGACAAAAGGGAGATGGTCAACGAAATAACACAAAACCACCGAGGAAAAGGCAAAGGCAAAATGTAAACACTGATAGGTGTGTCCTTATTCACCAAGACCACCATGCCACACTACCAAATGGACAACAGGTCGCAAAGAACAGGAAAGGAGAATTGCCGGCCTACCGGACTCGAAGTAGACGGGGTCAATGTAGCCTGTGGACCCCATGACTCGCGTGGTGACGTGGCTCTGCCAGTTGTTCACCGTGCGTGCCAACCCAAAGTCTGCCAGCACTGGCGTGAGGTCCTGGTGGACACAGGAGAGAGGGGAAGAGTAGATTCTTAAAGCCCGAGTCTAGAATTGTTAAAAACCAACTTTCCTGACCATGAAAACAGTGCCAAAAAAGTTCAGCGAATAAAATTTTCGGCAAGGCACCTCTGGCGAAAAACAGTGCGCAAACAGTGACGAACATTAATGTGATGGTCTCTAGTCGCGAGTCTCCCAAGAAAATGCCTTCAGAATGGTTGCGGGCGTTTCATGTTCAGTATGAGTGAACAGTGCGATCGTGGTTTGTCGTTTTCATCGGCTTCGCAAGCAGCCCGATTTCCCCGAGGGTTGCGACGTGGCGGTCCCCTGAACTAGGTCACCTCTACTGTACGAAACAAGTTCAGGAATCCTGAACTTGATAGTGTGCGATTCTAGACTCGGGCTTTAAGGCGCCTACAAAAGTCAGCACTGCAGGCAGGTCCTGGTAGAGAAAGGCAAGGGCGCATGAAGGCGAGAGAGAGAGAGGAGATAAAGAGGAGGATGGGCTGGAAAGGCTTGCACGTGCGGCAACAGGCTGTGCGTGCGTGCCCATACATGCATGCATCAATGCATCTATCCATGCGTCCAAACATGACACGCATTCACAAAGGTGCACACTTCTACAAAAGCACACATGCAGCTGGCACACGCACATGGACACGCGCACACGCCCACGCGCGCGAGCGCGCGCGCACACACACACACACACACACAAACACGCCCGCGCGCGCGCGCACACACACACACGCACGTATGCACCCCGGCAAGCACAGCCCACACTCAAATCTCTCTGAGCGGCACATTGCACAAGCTCACATCTCTGAGAGCGCACCTCTCGGAGCAACGCACCTCTCTGAGCAGCACGTTGGACGCCTTGAAGTCGCGGTGCACGTAGTCGTGCTGGTGCATCACCTGCAGTGCCTGCGCGCACAGCAGAGCCACCCGCAGCCGCGCCTTCCAGGGAAACTCGGCCTTGCCTTGCACCGCTGGCATTGGAATTGAGGAGAGAGGGGGGAGATAGAGGTGAGATTTGAGCAATCAAAAGGTAGACTCAGGTCGACTGTAGCGGCACCCGCAGCTGCACCTTCCAAAGGAACTCCGACTTGCGTTGGACCGCTGGAGATGGAAGGAGGGAGGGGAGGGAAAAGATAGGGACGACAAATAGCACAGGGAATACATTTAGGAAAGAATTCTGCATACGCCCTCCTACATGACATTTCGCTGAGTGCCTCTCATAGTTCTTATGCCCCACAGTGGTCTTGATACAAAGCCAGGAAATACACCCTTGTGGTGCAGGTGATGAACTCATAGATGAGGGCGGGGGTGGGCTTGGACGCGTAGGGAGCGTGTAGGGGTTGGGGTGGGAGAGTGAGTGCAAGGTAACAGAGAGAGAGAGAGAGAGAGAGAGAGAGAGAGAGAGAGAGAGAGAAGAGAGAGAGAGAGAGAGAGAGAGAGGAGAGAGAGAGAGAGAGAAGAGAGAGAGAGAGAGCGAGAGAGAGAGAGGAGAGAGAGAGAGAGAGAGAGAGAGAGAGAGAGAGAGAGAGAGAGAGAGAGAGAGAGAGAGAGAGAGAGAGAGAGAGAGAGTACCTTTTCTGAGATACGCCTCGGCATTGCCGTTGGTGATGAACTCATAGATGAGGGCAGGGGTGGGCTTGGACATGTAGGGAATGTGGGGGGGTTGGGGTGGGAGTGAGTGAGTGCAACAGAGAGCGTACCTTTTCTAAGATAAGCCTCAGCGTTGCCGTTGGGGATGAACTCGTATATGAGGGCGGGGGTGGGTCCGGACACGTAGCCGTAGAGCGACAGGATGTTGGGGTGCGACAGCTGCTCCATTGCCATCAGCTCCGCCTGTGTGGGGGGAGAAGGGGAAAAGGGAGGGGGCCACGGCCGGCGGAAACAGGAAAGGAGGAGGGAGCAGAGCCACAGGATGTTGGGGTGCGACAGCTGCTCCATAGCCATCAGCTCCACCTGTGATTAAGAGGAGAGGATGAAGCAGGGGGATGCGGTTGAGAGGAGAGGAGGAATACGAAAGGGGCCGTAGAGCGTTATGGTGCGACAGCTGCTCCATAGCCATCAGCTCCGTGTGTGGGGAGAGACATGGGCGAAACGTTGTGTAAGGGAGTGTGGAGCGGGGAGGGGTTAAGGGGAGGAAGGGGAAGGATGGGCTGAGAGGGTAGCACGAATGGGCACAGGGCGACAGGATGTTGGAGCGCTGGAAACGCTTCATGGAAATTCGCCTGTGGAGGAGGTGGGGGGGGAGAGAGGGGGGGGGTTGGAGGTGGGAGGAGGGGAGGGCTGATAGGGTAACGGGAGAGAGGAGGTGGGTTGGTTGGGGAGGGTAAAGCCAGGCATCGGCCTTAACCCGCGCTTACATGGAACTGCTCGTCGTCCTTGAGCTCCACATCCTCGTTATCCAGAACTTTCACCGCCACAGCCACCAGAACCTGTGCCGCCGCACCTTCCGCCCCTCCTTTCCCTTCCCCTTCCGCTTCACTCCCCTCGCCAGCAGCCCCAGCCGGAGCAGCAGCAGCAGCAGCTGCTGCCGCTGCTGCTGTGTCATGCAGGAAGCCCTTGTACACGACTCCGAAGCCCCCCTGGCCGATGGGCTTCTTGAGGCGGTCAGTCATGAGCATCATCTCGTCGTATGTGTACTCTGGAAACCCCTGGCCCAAGGGCTTCTTGTCCGGGTAGTGGGACGACTCTGGGAAGTGAAAGGGGGAAGTGAAAGGGGCAAGTGAAAGGGGGAAGTGAAAGAGATGGAGGGGAGGGATAGAGGGGAGGGATGGAGTGGGAGGGATGGAGGGGCGATTGGAGGGGGAACAGGAAAGAATATTGGATGGCGAGAATTAAGTGGGTAGACTATGAAGCACCCCAAAAAACAGAAGACGAATGGAAAAGGCAAAAGAGAGTAGCCGTGTAAAGGTGATAGACTATGGAGGGGTGTAGATGACGAGGAGGGGAGGGAACGCAGGCTGGTGGTGAGAACGACCAGGAGCGGTGGGATCAGAGCGAATGAAAGAGCAGGATGGATCGAGAAGGCAAAACCGAAGGGGAGGGATGGAGGGGGGGAAGGGAACGGGGAGGGGTTGGCGACGGAAGCAGCATAAACGCAGCCCTGGCATCGCCACATGTGCGAGCGAGCACGTCGCGCGTCACCACACGAGCGGCAGCAGAATAAGCGCAATCCTGACATCATAAAGCCGTGCAGCACGAGTAGCACGTACTGGCATCGCCGCTGGGCTGAGACAAGCACCCCCCCATGTGGAGTGCCGCCTCAAGGCCTTATTATCTGAGAAGCCTCCTCGAAACTACGAGGAATGCCGCCTGGAGGCAGGCCTTCCGGGCCAATTACACGATAAAGCCAGCTCTCCTCCAGAGCAGGAGAAGAGGTTCAGATTGGAGCACGATATCCACGTCAGCTATGGATAGAAAGGTGAGGGCTTTTTCAAAAGGGTTAACTCTGTCCCAGTCGATGCGAACCGACGGGTCGGCTGCGTGTACCACTCCCGAGCACCAGTCCTCATAAAGAGTGAGTCCGCTGCATTTGACCTAGTTTCGGTCACCCAAGTATCAGGGAATTCACGCGCAATGCATGCGGCTCATTGCAATGAAAGACGTGAAATAAACCAGTGTGGTGTGGAGAACGGTTCGGACGTGTTACGTCACAGTTAGTCGCACGCGTCGAACATGCTGCCAGGAAGAATTAAGAATAAAGCGTAACCGATAAATAGGACGACGATTAGGGATATGAGGGGGGTGAATGCTGTGTCCGACAGTGGAGGGGGAGAGGTAGCGGGAGATTTTGAAACTGGTCTGCTTTTAGGTTGCGCCTGAAACTGGTTGATACAGTACTACAGAACAGTAATAATAATAAAACAGTCCTGACATCTGACTCTCGAGGTTGATGATGGTTTGTGGTGGTGTGCGTGGTGGAACTGGCTGATACAGCAGCAGTCTGCTGAAGTTGATCCCAGGGGGAAGAGGAAGGTGGGAGCTGAGATAATCTCGAGGTTGACTGGACTGCGGTGTACATTGCAAAAGTGGAACTTACAGCGGTACACAAACGAAGATTGACTTCTAAATAAACCAAATACCCCATTCTAAGTAGAAGCCCTTCAAAACACTATAATGCAGTCATGCATGATCCGTTCTCTTGAGATTCGTTGTCTTTTCTAGGAGCCTCTGGTAGTTTAATCGCAATTTTTAGCACCTCCAACACTTCCTCCATGGTTGGACGATCGGCCCAATCTCTAGCCGTCGACTGCTTGGCAATGATGGCGATGGCATGTGCTTCCCTCTTATTTGCTTCATTCAAGATTGAGAGATCGAGCATGTCTTCGGCGCTGAGAGCATCTGCCTCATATAGCCACGCCTTGATGTCCTCAGCAAACCCCTGTCGCAGCACCGACTTGCCGGCGAGAATCTCAACCAAGTATAAGCCGAAGGCAAAGACGTCACTTTTGTCACATAGATGCCCTGGTACAGTCAGAACAGCAAAAAAATAGCATATTAGCACGCATGGCATGGGCATCGTACACACGACAATGGCAACCAGCCGCATGATCAGCATAGCCGACAGGCAAACAAGCATACATAAGAAACGGACCAGGAGCTACTTAAAGAAATTGAACTCTATGCCAGAAGCAATCATCCTCCTTTTTTTCCAACATACTGCAGCAAGAAGTCAAGTGGTCGTGTCAGCCATCTGTCCAGCCATTCCGACTCACCTGACTCAAAGTATGTGGGGTCAATGTAACCCATGGAGCCCTTGACCCGCGTCGTCACGTGCGTCTTCCAGTCATCTATGCCCTTGGCCAGACCGAAGTCCGCCACCTTTGGAGTGAAGTCCTGCAATCAAGAGATAGAGGGGAACGACAGGGAGAAAGGGCAAGGCCAGAAAAAAGGGTGGGTCGACCACGTTGAAGCGAGGACAAAGGGACGACGACGATGCAAACCAGAGGCAGGTATGGGCAACCTGCAGGCAAAAGAAAGAGCTGCTTCCAGGGATGTCTAATCAAAACTTGTGGAGCATGGGGATGAGTCTTGTTTTGTTTTGTATGCAACAGTGAGGGCGGATGGCAAGCAGAGCAGGCAGATGGTGACGCAGGGAGGATGGAGAGGGCGCCATTGCTTACATCCATTAGAACTTAGAACGTACTGCTGGAGGAGGCCAAAATTAATACTTACTTCTGTTAGTAGCACGTTGCTGGCCTTGAAGTCTCGATGGATGAACCGCTGCCTGTGAATGTACGTCAAGGCCTCCGCTGTGCCCATGATCACCTTCATCCGGTCAGCCCACGAAAATTTCGCCTTGCCCTCCGAACCTGTGACACATGGAGGGTTAGGCAAGGAAGAAGGTTTGGCAGTCGCTTGTCAGAGTATCGACATGGCACAAGGTTCTTTGCACTTGCACCAGCATTTTCCCTTGAGGTCAACGGGCATATCCCTTTGCAACCGCCGTGCTCCTCTCTCTCAACCCACCTATGGATAATGGCGACAAAAAAAAGCTCCACTGACTCGCGTTTCTAGGTACCGCACCAACAGCGGATATTCCTCTCTCCCCGTCCCCATATCGTACCAAAATTGTGTGCTAACAGCTAACGTCCACACACCTTCACTTCTCTCCCAGAAACACCTTCCCCAGTGAACGTACACTTGGCAATCAGCGCGTCGACGTCTCCCATGGGGATGTACTCGTACACCAGCGCCTTGACCTTCTCCGTGCAGCACGCCAGCAGCTTCACAATGTTGGGGTGCTGCACGCTCTCCACTGACGAAATCTCGTTCTGTAGCGGGCATAAAGGGAGACACAAGGGCGACACAAGGGAGACACACGGGCGACACAAGGGAGACACTCGGGAGACGCAAGGGAGGCACAAGGGAGGCACGAATCAGCAAAACCCATCATCCCTGCAGCCTGCAAGCCCCACCTTACCACCACTTCACGTCCTCGCTTTCGTTAAATATATATACTCTCCCTTACAAAGCTTTACCCGCCTTAATTGCACATCCTTCCAAACCCCAATATCCTAAGCCCTTTGAACGCTGAAGAGCCGCTCACCAGAAACTCGTCGGTTCCTTGGAAGCTGTGCGGAGCCAAAACCCCGATCGTGGTGACTTTCCACGTCGACTCAACAGTCACCTAGTTACAACATCACACGACGCTTCTGAAACGACCCACTCACCAGGAACTCCTCGATTCCTTGGAAGCTGTGCGGAGCCAGAACCTTGATCGCGACGAACGTCACGTCCTCGTCGTCATCCCCATTAACGCCGCGTAACCGGCCCTTGTACACTTTACCGAAGCCGCCTTCGCCGAGGACATTGGAGAAGTTGTCCGTGGCTCGCTTGATGTCGTCGTAAGTGAGGAATCGGATGTTAGAAGACGATTCGTCGCCGTCGTCTGCCGTTGAGACCTTGGCAGTTGAGAGCGAAGGTACCGACTTGGAGCCTGCAGAGAGAAGGTGCGTGAGTGAGGAATACAGGAAACGGAGAAAGGCGAGTTTGGCAAACACTTACCAAATACTTATCAGGTTCTGCTAAATACCTGTGAAACAACGTCGTACCGTCTATTAAGCGCATTGGTGGATATACATTGCGAAGGACTGTTGAGTCTGCTCAAATGCTGACTACTAGGTACACTAGAGTGGGTATACATTGCAAAAGTCACGAAGGAAGCTCCGAGTGGACGACCTAGAAATTGCCGTGCAAAGCGCAACAACTCAAGGGTAGGCTGCTCGGCTCACTTTTTGATACGGGGACGCTCGCCGTGCCCTCTTTAGAAGGAAGACAACCCATCTCGTGATTAGGAATTGGTCCGGATGACGGCGAATGGCGGCGGCCCGGGTTGACTGATAAACAGCTAGACTCGAGCAACGTACGGCATTGGAACGGCTAGGGTGATGTAAGTGGCTGTCACGGATGGTCGCGGCTTCGTCACTCAACTCAAGCTAACACCTGGCGTTTGAAGACTACACGCCACCACATTACGGAAGTTGCGAGAGCCTGCCACGACAACCTAACACAGAGTGGTTCGCTCGAAGTAGCTAAGGTTGAAGAAACGCGTTCGGCTCGAGACGCGCTGAGCTGGAAGCAACAGTAGGAGGACAGCAGCTTGTGTTTTTTGCGACATTAGTGGTCTGCCACAGGAACATCTAGCCCTTGAGATTATGTGCTGGTTTCATCTACTGGTCAATCAGGGTACTTCTGGAAAAAGGGGTTGTGTGGGCTGGTTGTGCTAGGCCTACTCTGGCTGGGTTCACTTTGCTTCGCACCTATATGAGTGGCTGCGATTTAGTCAGTGGTACAAGCTTGTCATAGTCAGGTTTGCAAAAACATAAGAATGATACGAATATGCCTCCAAACTAACCAAGGAATGATGTGGTACATGTATGGTTTATGGCCACTCTTGATTGTTTCATTTCTGGTATGATAGGGCTTGTCAGAGGTGGAAATAGTTCTCCTCTGGCACCAGACTGTACTTGAGATCTCGTCCGCAATAGCGGATTGACGTCACAAATTCAACTGCGGGCCAGGAGTCATCCATTTTCTACCAGCAGGGAGATTTACAGGCGGCGGTTCTTACATCGGGGGTGACAATGTTCCAACCAGCAGATGAGCCAACAGGCAAGAGGCTACCATCACCATCACCACCACCCGCAGCAGCAGTAGGCGAGGCGATAGCTGAACCAACCACCAGGCTGCCAAGCATTTCTCCTGCCTTTTGCCTCATCCCCATTTCAGAATTCCATTCCGGCCACATTTACTCCTCGCGAGCCTGGATTCTAGGCATGGCGTCGAGTGTAGCGATCCCATGGCTTTAGCGCTGGCATGAAACGCAAGAGGTCCGACGGTTGCACTTTTTCTCTGCGTCTTGTTGGTTGCGCGTGTTCTTCGACTAGCCCACAGCAAGTTTGCGATCCCGGCGTACGAAGGAGCGTACGCCTGTCGGACTTTTACTTCGTCGGATAACCCGTTTCTGATCATGCAGTCGTTTTGGAGAGCGCGTAAGATCGACGAGGTGACGTCGGACGACGATAAGATCGCGCCCGTGTACCGCCTGGACGAGATATGCCAGGACCTGCAGGCGAGCCCGGGCGACACAGTGAAGGAGGTGGTTGACTACATCATGCAACGCGTCAACCACGCCTCTCCCTTTGTCAAGCAAAAGGTGCGATCCAGGATCAATGGTTAGAACGACTGAGAGGTTGCATTTAGGCGAGCAGGTGCTGGCCAGCCCGGGCGAGCCGGTGAAGGAGGTGGTTGACTACATCATGCAGCGCATCAACCACGCCTCGCCCTTCGTGAAACAGAAGGTAGGAAGTAAGGATCAGGCGTCACAACGACTGAGGAACTACCTTTGGGCGAGCACATTGAGGCGATGGAGGAGGTGGTTGACCACGTCATGCAGCGCGCCAACCACGCCTCGCCCTTCGTCAAGCAAGGTGCGATTCAGGATCAATGGTTAGAGCGACCGAGAAATTGCCTCTAGGTGGGCGCCTGCACGTGAGCCCGAGCGAGCTGCGGAAGGACGTAGGTAAGGAGGCGGTGAGGGAGCGCATGAACCACTCCTCGCCCTTGGTCAAGCAAAAGGTGGGCGAAAGATCAAGTATTGATAAAGTATGAGGTGAACCCTAAAGCAGTCTAATTGCGGGCGAGCCCGAGCGAGGCGGGGAAGGAGGTGGTTGACTATTTCATGCAGCGGGATCAACCACTCCTCGGCCATGGTCAAGCAAGCAAAGGGGAAATCAAGCGCCTCAGGCATCGTCTCAGGCGACGACATCCAGCTTTATGTTTGAACCGACGGACGGATCAGCCGCGCCTCTTGCCTCGTCAACCAGTCGGCGTCAAGCTCTCAACTGGACTGTTTCGCCTCGCTTTTCGCCTCCGCTCGTTGTTTCGACTCGACTTAGCATGCGCTCGATCGTCGACAGCTTCGACCAGGAATCGGCGATGCCATCCTAGGTCCAAAGCGTGAGCTGGCCAATCTCTAGGTTACTATAACGAGCTTTCTCGGTCGCGTGCGGATGCGACTATAACGAGCTTTCTCGGTCCTGCATCCCCATTTTTCTCCTTGCTGGCTCGTCTTCATCTCTAATCGCCGCTCAGCGCATTCTGTTGATGAAGAGATGAAGACGAGCCCTTTCTGCCGATATCCCTCTCCCCCATATCTCGTCTCTCTCCCCCATATCTCGTCCCTCTCCCCCATATCTCGTCTCTCTCCCCCATGCCTCTTCCCAGGTGACTTTTGAGTCGACTCAAAAATCCCTCTCCTCCATATCTCCTTTCTCTCCCCCATGCCTCTTCCCTCTTCCCCATATCTCCTCTCTCTCCCCCATGCCTCTTCCCTCTTCCCCATGTCTCGTCCTTCGACCCCTCTTCTCCTCCCAGGCCCTGCGGCTGATAAAATACACAGTATCCCGCGCGGGCACGGAGTTCCGCCGCAGCATACAGCGCCACTCCGCGGCCATCAAGGGCATGGTGCACTATCGCGGACAGCCGGATCCGTTAAGAGGCGACGCGCCCAACAAGGCCGTCAGGGAGATGGCGCAGGAGGCCGTGCAGGCCATCTTCAACCCGCAGAACGACGTCAAGCCCGGCGCAGGCTCCATGGGCGGCGGTGGTGTCAGTGGCGGTGGGGCGTCTACAGGGGGTGGCTATAGCGGGGGGTACGGAGGCGGAGGTGGGATGGAGGGCGGGCGGCGCAGAATGGAGGGATTCGGAAGCACGCCGGTCAGGGAGAACGGGGGTCCTGGGGGAGGAGGAGGGGGAGGGAGAGGTGGTGGGGGAGGGGGGGCAGGAGGCATTGGGGCTGTGCTGGGCGTGAGTAGTGAGTCCATTCGGCAGGGGATTAGCAAGCTGACGGGTGTGGTAGTTCCAGGAGGAGGAGGGCCGGGAGGAAGGGCGGGTCAGTTTGAAGAAGCAGCAGGCGGGGGGAGCTACGTTGGCCCACGGTTGGACTCGGTAGGAGGTGGGGATGCTTACGGGTACGGAGACGGGGGGTATGGAGACGCGTCTTCCTATAACCAGCAGCGGTACTCGCCTCACGCTTCCTCCTCCTCCGCCTCGTCAGGCGGGTCCAAGTCCAAGTATGTGGGGTTCGACCGGCAGGGGCGCACGTTTGACTCGTCCACCAACTCGTACTCGCCTGCTGCCGCGCCTGCTGCCTCCTACTCTGGTTCCGGCAGGGACAGAGAGTACGGGTCAGACCACGGGTATAGAGCAGGCGGGGCGTATGGCGGCGGGGGGGTGGTGGAGGGGGAGGAGGGCCATATGGGGGGGGTGGAGGGCCATATGGGGGGGGTGGAGGACCATATGGTGGTGGAGGAGGGGGGGCGTATGGAGGGGGGGATGCGGAGGAGGACAGGGCGGGGGGAGGGTGGGACGGCGGGGGCAGCAAGGGGAGGGCCGCTCTGAGGCTGGCGCATGGGGAGGAGCGCCTGGGTCTGGGGACGGGATGGGCGGAGCAGGGGGCGGAGCAGGGGCGGAGGGGGCGGAGGGGCAGTGAGGAGGAGCGGGTGGTGGAGGGCATGACTGGGGCGGGCGGGGTGCGGCTGCAGCCCACACGGGAGGCGCTGAGGGGCTTCATCGCGAGCTTGGGCAAGCTGAACGCCGGCGCTGTGGCTCAGGCCCTGGAGGCCCGCCTCGCTAGCAACCTGTGGCAGGTGACACAGGGGGGGACGAAAAGGGGGAGGGAGAAAGGGGGGGAGATTGGGGTGGGAGGGGGCAGGGCAGGAACCTATGGAAACTGGGGGGAAGGGGGAAGGGGGCAGGGAGAGTACCACGTAGCAGGTGGGTGGGAGAATGCATAGCATCATGACAGGTGGTTGGGAGAATGCATAGCATCATGACAGGTGGGGGCATGGTCAAGATGGAGGAAGCCTAGGAGGGTGAGGGGAAAAGGGGGGAGCTGGGGACAGGGTGTACGGGAGAGAGAGAGAGGTGACACTGAAACTGACACTGACACTGACAGTGGTGGTGGTAATTGGTCACTGGAGATGGAGTGTGTAATGAGTCGATTTTTTAGTCGACTCAAAAATTGACTCATTACACACGGATTGTGTACGGGAGAGAGAGAGCTGACACTGACACTGACAGTGGTAGTAACTGGTCACTGACGGGGGAGGGATAACACGGACAGCGGTGTCTGGTCACTGGAGATGGAGTGGCGGTGACAAAGCGGTCAGAAAATTAGTGCTCTTCGATTTGCACTTGTCACACATTTGGTGGCGGGCAGTCATCTGTTGGCGCTTTGGCGCTCTCGTCAGCACTAGTTGGGCGTCATGAGGCTCCTAGTGCCTGGCATCATGATTCATGAGGCTCCTAGTGTCGGTTGTCACAAGGCTCCTAGTGTCGGTTGTCACAAGGCTCCTAGTGTTGGGGCTACTCTATTTGTCGCGTCTAATCCCTTCCCCCTCCCCTTTCCCCTTATTTCCCAATCCCTCTTCTCCACCCCCTCCCCCCTCCCCTCCCCCCTCTCAGAGACGCTTTAAGTTATGGTGGAGGCAGTGCTGCGGCAGTGCTGCGGCAGGAGGGCCACCCGAGTCGTGACTTCTCCTCATTCTTTGATCCACCTCCCCCTTGTCCCCCCCAACCCCCTCCTCCCTTCCCCCAGACGCGTCTGAAGGCCATGTGTGTGGTGGAGGCAGTGCTGCGGCAGGAGGGCGACGCGCAGTGCGATGCCATCTTTGACCACTTCGTGGACAGCCCCCACGCGCTGCATGACAACGTGGACTCGCCTCAGACGTCCCTCAGAGACAAGGCCAAGCGGGTATGCGTACTGTTAGATTGCTCCGGCGATGGTACGTGCTTGAGGGTGTGACAGAGGTTACCTGGTTGACAGCCCCCACGCGCTGCATGACAACGTGGACTCGCCTCAGACCTCCCTCAGAGACAAGGCCAAGCGGTTATGACTTGCTTGAGAGTTGATGGTGTATGGGAGCTGGGAAAAAGCACCACATCTCAAGGCAAAGTGTGTGGTGGAGGATTGCCTCCACCACACACGGTGCTTGAGACACATGGCCATATGTGTGTGGTGGAGGCGGTGCCGCCTGCGATCCTTCAAACCACCGCCATTACTCCACCGTTCTGCACCGCACTCCACTACATCCCCACCCACCCCATACCTCCCCCTATCCCAGGTGCTTGACCTCCTGGGCTTGCGCCACCAGCAGGGGGGGCAGGCATCCCCGCAGCCAGCAGCAGCAGCAGTTGACGTGCCGGACTTGATCGACGTGGGTGAAGACGAGGCGCAGGGAGCGGATGGCGGAGGAGGAGCTGGTGGAGATCTAGGAGCGATCGCGAGTGACGGGTCGTCTGTATCACACGTGTCTGGTGGGTTGGGAGTCGGGGTTTCTCCTGTGGCTTCTACAGGCGTGGATGACCTCTTGGGAGGGGGGGATGACCTACTCAGTTCCTTGCATTCTGCCACCCCTCCTCCTCCTCCTCCTGCTGCTGCTGCTGTAGCGCCATCTGCCCCTGCTCCCACTACAGCCGCTGCAGCTGTAGCCGTGGACCCTTTTGCTGCTCTCTCTGGCGACCTCACAGGGCAAGCGTCCGACCTCTTTCAAGGGATGAGCCTCAACAGCCAAGGGCCGGACGCGAACCACCAGCAAGGACCGGCACCAACTGCTGCTGCAGGTGGTGCTAACGGTGCTGGTGCTGGTGCTGGTGGGGGAGGAGGAGGAGGGGAGGATCTGTTTGCGGGTATGAGTGTGAACCAGCAGCAATCGCAACCACTTTCTGCAGGCTCGGTGAAGCCAAAGCCGGCTGCCTCACCTTCAGTCTTGCTCCAGCAGCAGCAGCAGCAGCAGGCAGGGCAGCAGTGGGGAATCGGGGCAGTGGGCATGCTCGGTGTGCCCATGACCATGCCCGCTCCCTTGGCGCCTGGACCAGCAGTAGCAGGGGGAGGAGTGGGAGGAATGAACATGGGCATGGGCATGGGCATGGGCATGGGTGCAGGGCCAGGCATGCATCCTATGATGGTCCCCGTGCCTATGATGGTCCCCCCTGGGGGAGTCATGATGCCAGGTGCTCCTGGCATGATGCCCATGGGTATGGGCATGAACATGGGCATGGGCATGGGCATGGGTATGGGTGTCAACATGGGAATGGGCGGAGGGATGGGGATGGGGATGGGGGGAGTTGGGGGGCCAGGCATGATGGGCGGAGTGGGGGGGATGATGGGTGCTGCGAATGGAGGGAGGATGGGGGGTGGAGGCCGGGCGGGCAGTGACTTTGATTTCTCGGGGGATCCCACGGTGCGCCCGACTCCCCCGAGTGCATCCAGCAAGGAGGATTCCCACGCCTTCGACTTCGTTTCGGTGAGTTGAGCGCTCCCATGCACTCCAAAGGCCTGTCATACAGCGTGCATCACAGCACGCCACGCCTTGTACCGCATCACAGCGTGCCTTGTGCCCCATCACAGCGTGCCTTGTACCCCATCATGTTTCTCTAGTGATTCTGATGCACCTGGCATCCCGGATATGTGTGTTATCAATGCCCCTTCGTTTTCTAGTGTTCCACTGAATCCCCTTCTGTATCCACTGTTTCGCATGATGGGCTCATGGCGCATTGACAATCCTGCTCTCATGCTTGATGCGGAGCTGGTTGTCTGTGAGCCATTCACCCGTCATGAGCCATGCGCCCATCGTGAGCCATGTGGAGCTGGTTGCCCGACTGATGATGCTCTTTTGATTATATTTGTCACGTGTCTTGTAGCCATCCTCCACGTGTCTTGTCACCATCCTCCACGTGTCTTGTCACCATCCTCCACGTGTCTTGTAGCCATCCTCCACGTGTCTTTTCACCATCCTTCATGTGTCTTTTCACTATCCGTCACGTGTCACCAGGAGCACATAGTCGCAGCTATGGGGACGAAGAAGGGGCCACCAGCAGCCTCAGCCATGCGCTCCTCCTGAGTGGCAGTCAATGAGCCTCCAGAAACAAGTGCTTGGGAATAGTTTTGAGTTTTGAAGACATGTGGACTATCATGCTTGTTACCTAACCTGGAACAGCTATCCTTGCACCATTGCTGTATCAAAAACAGAGAAGTGTTGATTGATAGAGTGAGAGTACACACAGATATACCTAAGTCTTGTACCCTCTAAGAGATGACCCTATACAGTCTATACAAATATGACAATTACACATGTTTGACACACCCCCTAGTCTGCATAGGGGAATGTCCTAAACAAGCAGCTCAGGGCGGCACTACTAGTCCAACCTCTGAGACAAGGGTCTGAGAGACCAGTCAGAAGGAGTACAGGCAAGGCAAGAACAAGAGCAGGGCGGCACTACTAGTCCAGCCACTGGGAGAGGACACAAGTCCAGTCTGAGTATACATATAAACGACAGTACAAAGTCAAGGTCCTAGCAAGTGAGAGGCTACAGGAACTAGACCAAGCTGTACACAGTGCCGCTGATGATCTTTAGGCGCAAGCGCCTTCGTAAAGATATCAGTCGTGTTGGCACCTGAGGCCAACTGAACTACGCGGGCCTGGCGACGCTGCTGTAGCTCGCGCAGGAGGAAGTACCGCAGCTGAATGTGCTTCCCTCTGCCCTCAAGTCGAGGCTCCTGACACAGGAGGATCATGGCCCTGTTGTCAGCGAACAGGACCGGGGCAGAGCTAGGCCGCTCACCTAAGTCAGTGAGCAAGAAGGTCAGCCAGCGGAGCTCCTGTGCCGCCATGGCACCAGCGTAGATCTCAGCCTCACAGCTGGACTGCGCAACAGACGAGGAGCGAGTAGCTCTCCACAAGACGGCAGCTGAGCCAAGGCTGAAGCAGTAGCCCTGGGTAGACCTGAGTATCTCGGCGTCGTCTGTCCACGAAGCGTCTGTGTGTCCAGTAACGACCACTGGCCTGCGTCCTCCTAGCACTAACCCCATGCCCGATGTACTAGCAAGATAACGCAGAACCCTCTTAGCGGCAGACCAGTGCTGCGGTCGGTGTCTGCCTGTGGCCACAAAACGAGCCAGGATGCTGAGAGGGTATGAGAGATCTGGGCGAGTGCAAGTCATCAGGTACATGAGGCAACCCACCAGCTCTGCGCAGGGGCCACTGGGCTCTACCAACTCCTCAGACACTGGAGCGGAGAGTCTGTGGTCTACAGGCAGAGGGGTGGGCTGTGCAGAGGAGAACTGAAGGCTGAACCTCTGAAGGACCTGGCACACCAAGTGTGACTGAGTGAGGGTGATGGTGCGCGATGCTCTGTCCCTGGAGATCTGCAAGCCAAGGTAGCGGCACAGTTCTCCAAGGTCAGTGCACGTGTGTCTCTTCAGCAGCTCTGCCTTCACGGAGGCCAGTGCGTCCCTGTCTGCTGTGGCAAAGACCAGGTCGTCGACGTAAACAAGGATGTAGAACGGAGTCTGGCCAGCACGAACGAAGAGTGAAGGGTCTGCGGAAGACGGAAAGAACTGCAGGTCAGCAAGCGTAGCACGGAGAGTGTCGTGCCACTCACGGGGAGCCTGGCGCAGGCCGTAGACGGGGCGCCGGAGGAGCCACTAGGTCCCAGGAGGGAAGGTGCCAGTAAAGCCCTGAGGGCGACGCAAGTAGACCTGCTCGTGTAGGCTGCCCTGAAGGAAGGCAGTGGAGAAGTCGAGGGAGTGAAGCTCGTAGTCACGCTGAGCAGCTATGTGTAACAGAGCCCGAAGAGTAGTCATCTTCGAGGTCGGAGCGAAGGTCTGGAAGAAGTCCACCCCCTCGCGCTGACTGAAGCCTCTAGCCACATAGCGCGCCTTGAAGACAGGCGGCTCTCCAGGAGGGCGCTTCACCTTGAAGAGCCAGCGACCATCGACTACGTTCACCCCAGGTGGGGGAACTGCGTCGACGAAGGTGCCGGTGGATCTCCAAGATGCCATCTCCTGCTCCATGGCAGCTATCCACTGCGAGGCCCAGGGTCCCGAGGTCGCCTCAGCGTAAGTGCGAGGGGTCGGGATGTCAAAAGCGTCTCGGTCACCCTCAGGGACTAGCAGCATGGAACAGAGATGGGGAGCAGTCTCGGAGAGGAAACATGCTCGAACTGGCGGTCCTCCAGGACGTCACTGCCAAGGGCAGGAGCACCCCCGACAGACGGAGGACAGGCAGGGTCAGAGACCAGAGCTGTGGCGTAGTCAAGGCGGCGGGTAGAGGCGAAGTCAGCGACAGCAGCGACAAGAGCGTCAAGGCACGAGACCGGAACAGACGGGTCGGTAACGAGAGAGGCAAGGACCCGAGGAACAAGGGGACGAGCGGCACGAAGGTAGTCAGACAGCGGGGGGGGTGCAACAACAAGGGAGGACGGAGGAGGCGACGGCAGAAGGGGAGGACGAGACGCGTGGGAACGAAGCAACATAGGGTGGGAGCGCAAGACAGGCGAGGCAGGACGAGCACGGGAGGGACGGTGAGACCAGACGTGCGACGGAGGAGTCAGGTCAGGAGACAGGGGAGGTGACACAGGAGGGGAACGAGGGGGGAGACAGGCCGGGGACGAATCCGGTGGAGGGAAAACAGGGCCGTAGACAGGAAGAGGAGGAGACGGCCGGGGAGGAACGGACGCAAGGCGGGTGACGGAAGGCCGAGCAGGCGAAGGGCTGATACCGGCGGGGACTGCTGCTGCAGCGGCGCAACGGCGACCCCGGGACCGCAAGCTGCTCCTCGGCTACCACCGGCACTCTCCACACCAGCACCCCCAGAGGGGCCACCCCCAGGGCGAACGGGACGAGCATCCCCAGAGTCAGTGAACAGGGGCCGCGACGGCGGCGGCGGCGGCGGCGGCGGCAGCGACAACGACGGCTGCAGTGGCGACAGGGGCGGTGGAGGAGGGGACTGGGGAGGGGACACCGGGGGAGGGGCAGCCGGCGAGGACTGCACAGGAGGGCCACCAGAGTCAGAGGACTCCTCAACCGGGTCCTCCGACGGAAGGGGGGTGACGTGTGACACACCAGAGGGGGCGGGACGGGGAGGAGGAGGAGGAGGGGCAGGGACTACCGGGGAAGGAGTGACTAGGAACAAGGGGGGGGTAACCGGGGGACCACGGTGGGGGAAGCGACGGTAGAAGGAAACTGACTCGTCAAAGGTGACGTCGCGAGAGTGAAAGAAGCGGTGAGACGGCGGGTGGTAAAAGTGCCAGTCGGACGCGTCAAGGGGAAAACCGAGGAAGACGCAGGGAAGGGTGCGGGCAGTGAGCTTGTCCGTGCCGGAGGCACGAACGTGAGCAAGGCAGCCCAAGACGTGGAACGCAGACGCGTCACCAGGAGACCCAGTCCAAAGACGGGTCGGCGAAACCTGCGACTGCTGAGGGTGCGGCCACAAGTTAAGCTGGTGAGAAGCGTAGCGCACAGCGAACGGCCACAGAAAATGGGGTGCACCGGCATGGATCATGGAGGTGCGAGCCACCTCCATGACCAAACCGATGCGTCGCTCAGCGACCCCATTCTGCTGTGGGGAGTCCGGTAGGGTGAACGTCTGGGTGATGCCCTCCGCGCGACAAAAGCGACCAAGGACACCTGAGGCAAACTCGCCACCACGGTCTGAGTGAAGACGCAAGACAGCGAGACCGCGGTGGACACGCGCAGAGACAAGCCAGGGGATGAGAGCGCCAGGCACGTCGGCCTTGCGCTCCAGCGGAAAGACTGTGGTATAACGAGTGAAGTCGTCGACGAGCACAAGGAAGTAGCGCTCTCGACGCGGCCCAGGGACGGGGGCGGGGCCCCAGATGTCCAGGTGCAGGGTCTGCAGCGGCGCGGCGGTAGGGGGAAACGAGGAGGAGTGAGGGGCACGGCGAAGCCGACCCTCAACACAGGGCGTGCAAGGGGGGGCGGGGGAGGAGGGAAACGCGGGGAGAGAACCTGGGAGACCAAGGACAAGAGCGTGCTGGGACATGTGACGCAGACGCGGGAGCGCAGGGTGACCTAGGCGGTGGTGCCAAAGGAGAGTCGGGTGAGTGAGGGACCGACAGGAGCAGGCAGCAGCAACCTGGGTAGACGCAGCCACCAGAGGGAGCGCTCCAGCCGGGGGGGTCACGGTGTCCAGAGTGAACAGGCCGGACACCGGGTCCCGGGGGAACGTGGACAGGGGGGCACCAGTGGCGGCCTCGGTACAGACAGCATACCGCTCGTGGCCAGGGAACGTAGTGGTGACGCCAAGGTCCTGGAGGCAGCCGACACCAACTAGGTTCCTGGAGAACGAGGGGATATGCAGACCTGTGAGAGAGCCCGAAGGAACCGCCGGACAGGGAAGGGTGGTGGAACTGCGGGCGACGACCGGACCACTCGAGGGGTCAGCAAGGGAGACGGCAGCAGGAACAGGAAGCGGCGTCAGGGTGGTGGAGTCGCGGAAGAAACACCGAGAAGCGCCAGAGTCCAAGGTGAAGGAAAGCGAAGCAGAGGCGTCTGGCGTCGAAACGACGGTGGAAGCACCAAGACAACACAAAGCAGAGGATCCTACGCCTGACGCAGCAGGGGAGGCTACGCTAGACACACCTACGCTAGTGAACAGTGAGTAATAAGCTGGAAGCACACTAGAGTCATCAGCATACATCACATGCAGGGCAGCAACAATGGCATCTATGTCCATATCAAAGATCTGAATCTTACGACTAAGCAAACTGTGCCAGTCCGGGAGGTCTGGCGACGGGCCGAAGCGCTGACGGAAGAGGTCGTCCAGGCGACGAAAACAGCGGGGAGTGGAGTGACCGATCTTACCGCAAACGAAGCCGCGGCGAGGACCGGTCTGGATCTGGTACTGACAACGCCCGCCGCCAGAGCCACCACTCGGCACACCACCACGCGCCCGGCCACCACCAGCGCCGGGCCACCCGGGCGGGAGGACACTCGTCTGCCGTGTCTGCGACGGCTGCTGCGGCTGCTGCGAAGGCTGCGACTGCGGCGGCTGCTGCGGCTGCTGCAACTGCAGGGGCGGCGGCTCAGCTGGACCGGGCAGGGTCCCCTCGTCCGCTCCAGCACCAGACGACCCGACCCCACCACTACCCCCTCCCGCACCCCCGCCTCTGCCGCGCCCAACCTTGGGGCAGCGGCCCTTCCCCGAACGGAACTGCGCTGAAGCAGCAGTCTCAGCCACAGCGGCAGAGCCGTCGGAGAAGGTACACTGAGCGGGGGCACATCCTTGAAAGATAGGGACCGGCACGGCACCGCTCGCCTGGGCGATGGAGCGGTGACGGGTCTCTATCACAGTCAGGGTGTCTACAAAGTCAGTGAGGGTGAGGTCGGCGGGGTGAATGCTAAGGAAGCGGTCGCGGGCGACAGCAAGGCGGTCAGGGAGGCGGGTGGCAAGCAGGTAGAGGGTAGAGGTAATGGGCGGCTGGTGGGCTCTAAGCTGTGCGTCAGTGCAGGCAGCGCGCCAGGTCTCATCTATCGAGCGCAGGTGGGCAGCAAGGTCAGAGACAGTAGGGAAGGATGCAAGGTCAGGAAAGAGCATCGGGAGGATCAGGCGACCCACCGAGGCAGCCGGAGGAGTGGAATAGCGCTGGATGACAGCATCTAAGTATGCCTGAGCAGTGGTAAGGGACCTAAAGCGAGGGCGCTCGGATGGGGGAAGGGCGTTGCTAATGGCAAGCTGGGCGACAGCATCGCGAGAAAGCCAGACAGAGCGCGCACGGGCTGTGGCAGCGGGCAAAATAGCAGGGTGGTCTGGGCAGGGGAGCGTACCGTCAAGGTGTGCGGAAAGCGGTTCGCCATCCTGCCGCTGGCCAGTGAGTTGGCGGCGGAGGTCGGCAAGCCACACCTCGAACTCCTGAGGCTGGCCTTCAGCGTCGAAGCGAAGCTCCGCCGCCATCAGGAACAGCGCAGTGCGGTGCAGGGCAGTGCAGCAAGGTGGAGTGCGGTGCCGTGCGGTACAGTGCGGTGTAGTGCGGTGTCAGGCAGTACAGGGTGGTGAGGGGCGGTGCAGTGCGGGGCAGTACGGTGCAGGGCAGTGCAGGGCGGGGGGGGGGCGGGGGGGGAACCGTACCAGTGAGGAGGACCGGGGCCGGGGCAGGGACGAGCGCAGGGGCCGGGCCGGTGCAACGGGGCCGGGCGGGTGCGACGGGGCCGGGCCGGTGCGTCGGGGCCGGGCTGGTGCGACGGGGCCGGGCAGGCGCGACGGGGTCGGGCTGGTGCGACGGGGCCGGGCGGGTGCGACGGGGCCGGGCCGGTGCGACGGGGCCGGGCAGGTGCGTCGGGGCCGGGCCGGTACGACGGGGCCGGGCAGGTGCGACGGGGCCGGGCGGTTGCGACGGGGCCGGGCCGGTGCGACGGGGCCGGGCAGGTGCGTCGGGGCCGGGCCGGTGCGACGGGGCCGGACGGGTGCGACGGGGCCGGGCGGCTGCGACGGGGTCGGGCAGGGGGCGACGGGGCCGGGCGGGTGCGACGGGGCCGGAAGGCGTGACGGGGCCCAGGAGGGGGGGGCTCGACGCGGCCCAGGAGGGGCGCTACGGGGCCCAGGAGGGGCGTTACGAGGCCCAAGAGGGGCGCGACGAGGCCCAGGGGGGGCACTACGGGGCCCAGGAGGGGCGCGACGGGACCCAGGAGGGGCGCTACGGGGCCCAGGAGGAGCGTGACGGGGCCCAGGAGGGGCGCTACGGGGCGCAGGAGGGGCGCGACGGGGCCTGAGAGGGGCGCGACGAGGCCCAGGGGGGGGTACTACGGGGCCCAGGAGGGGCGCGACGGAACCCAGGAGGGGCGCTACGGGGCCCAGGAGGGGCGCTACGGGGCCCAGGAGGGGCGCGACGGGGCCTGGGAGGGGCGCGACTGAGCCCAGGAGGGGCGCTACAGGGCCCAGGAAGGGCGCGACGAGGCCCAGGAGGGGCGCTACGGGGCCCAGGAGGGGCGCTACGGGGCCTAGGAGGGGCGCGACGGGGCCTGGGAGGGGCGCTACAGGGCCCAGGAAGGGCGCGACGGGGCCCAGGAGGGGCGCTACGGGGCCTGGGAGGGGCGCGACGGGGCCCAGGAGGGGCGTGACGGGGCCTGGGAGGGGCGCGACGGGGCCTAGGAGGGGCGCTACAGAGCCCAGGAAGGGGTGCGACGGGGCCCAGGAAGGGGCGCGACGGGGCTAGGGGGGTCGCGACGGGGCTAGGGGCACGGCGGGGCTAGGAGGGGCGAGCGGAAGCGGTAGGTGGTGGGGATCCTAACCTACGCGTGATACCATATCAGAAACAGAGAAGTGTTGATTGATAGAGTAAGAGTACACACAGATATACCTTAAGTCTTGTACCCTCTTAGAGATGACCCTATACAGTCTATACAAACATGACAATTACACATGTTTGACATGCTGGGCCAATTGTGAAAGCTTGCTTAGGTCCTCTTGGAAGGCAGCGTGCTTCATTTCATATGGGTGATATACATTGGTTCTCGTCCAATAAACTACTCAACACATAGCTAGGGTGGGTGGGCGGGGAAACTCAAATGAGTTGAACTACCGGTAGAAGTGAAGAACGTGGGTGAGGCCGAGAGGCCTCACGTTCCTCTTTTGAATGCAAAAGAGGGTTAGGTGCACTTCGCCGCTGCCTTTGCTGCGTTGGCCCTTGCTACACTATCACAATACACATTTTTAGAAAGCGCTACACGCTTTCAAAAAATTACATTTCTTTTGACCTGTAGCTGAGTCACTAGAATGAAAGCAACTACCGTACAACCAGTCTTCTTGACAATCAAGAACAAGAAGCTTGCAAGTAACCCAGCCAGTATGACTTCTAACCACCACATGAGCTCGAACCATACGAATCCAAGATGGGGCCCTGATTTTTTCAAATTCTTCTGTTCCAGCCCCTTGACATTTTTGGAACAGCAGCAGTTTTTTGTCTTGGTTTTGACATCTGACCTGTAACGCCTTCCACAGTAGTCTTCCTCATTACACATAGGATTGTCCTAGGACGTCGTGGAAAGCGCACAGCAACTCTACTCACACGAATTGGGTAACAATAGCTTTTCTCTGTAAACGTTACAAGCATGCTCATAGGAACAGTGGAGGCTATAAGAGAACACAGTTGTTCCCCTTGCCGCCTGACACAGCGGCAGCAACACCAGAAGTAGCGGCATCTAGAACTGCATGCGGTGGGGCTTGTCTCCAGACGTAAGTGAGAAGCGGGCAGAGAGGTACTCCTTGAGCAGGGGCTCGCTGGCTACGGCCGCCAGGATCTTGTCGTCCACCGCAGCCTGGTCATCCTTCCTCGCCTGCGACACCACCTTCTTCTCCTGAATAATGGTATTTGAGGAGCGGGAGGGGGGAGAGGAGGACAGGGGGGAAGGGGGCGAAGGGGGGGAAGGGGGGGGGAAGGGGAAGAAAAGGGGGACGGGGTCAGGGGGGCGGGGGGGGTAGATGAGGGCAGGTTGGAAAACTTTGGACCACCAGAGTGGCTGACTAGTACAGTGACACACCGAGGGGGAATCGGGCAATCTACACAGGACACCAAGGGGCAGTTGACCTATTTGTACTCGCCTTCTCAAGCGCCTCGGGGGCTTACCTTCTTCTCGATCTCGAAGAACTTGCCCTCGCTCATCTTCTCCAAACTCTCCGTGAAAACTTTTGAAACCAACTCCAGCGAGCACTAAATCAAGAGGATACCTTCTTCTCGGTCTCGAAAAACTCGCCCTCGCTCTTCTTCTCCTTCTTCTGCTCGCCCGCGAAGTAGCTGTCGTCGAACTTGGCCACGTCAGAGCCGCTCACGTCCACCTTGGTCGACGTGGCGATGACGTAGCGCTGGTTCACTCTCCTCAGGGGAACCCTGTTCACCTTGAAGGGACCTGGGAGGGGAGAATGGAGGATGGGAAGTAGGCGTGGGGATGGAGAAGAGGCCAGAAATTGAAGAGGATAGGGCTGAGGGTGACGAAGAGTGAGATGATGACATGGCAGCCAGCCTCCAGTGAGCATGGCCAGGCGGTCTGACACATTCGAGCATCGGACGACAGTACAGTGGCCTCATAGATCTTGGTGGATAGTAAATCGTCATGCGGCCGTAGCCGTCAAGAGTAGCAAATACTTCGTATAATCACCGGCCACGTCGCCATCTTCGAGCAGCATCTCAGGGATTTTTCCAGGGAGAAAAAAAGGAGGAAAACGTCGTCGGAACCAACAATGTGCTTGACATCCATGGTTGCCTGGGACATGGTGGGCATCCTCGCTGACGTCACCAACCACCACCAGAGGCTGAGATTGAGGAGCCATAAAAGTTAGAGAACAGCCGTGAAGGGCTAGATGATGGAATCAGAAGATGATGGGATCCGTGTCTACTACGGATCCGCGTCTACCGCCGATCAGTGTCTACTACTAGACCTAGACCACTAAGCTAGTGGACAACCCTACGTATGTCTTCTTCACAACGGCCTCATATCTTGGTGGTAAGATAATCGTCACATGGCCAGAAGCCATCCAGAGTAGCAATCGTAGATATAATCACCGGCCGGGTCTGGAGCGCCAGAAATCAGAAGTGTGAATACTGAAGAGAACGCATTAAGAGTAAAAACCAAGACAGGGACCGAGGAACCGTACTGGGTCCACAAATCACTAGAACGCCGGTGGTAGCAGCCTCATAGATCTTGGTGGATAGTAAATCGTCATGTGGCGATGCCATCAAGAGTAGCAAATACTTCGTATAATCACCGGCTGCACCACCACCGTCCGACCCCACTGACAGCGTCGCAACCCCCGAAAACGACTAGCCGTGAGTTATGGCCGACCAGTATGTGATCGCCAAGCTTACTACTGAAAATCTCCGTCTGCGGTACATCCGTCTGCGGTATTCTAGAGCGACCAATCGTCGTCAGAACCCCCAAGATTCGGTCAAGGCGATCGAGCGGGACAACAACGGCTGCTGAAATTACTGGACGTAATCGGAGCAACCCACGCCCCTGCACAAACGCGATGCCACTGGCTTCTACAGCCTAGGGTGTCTAGAAGCGTTGGGTGGAGGCGAGAGAGCAGACGCAGAATTCGGAGTGGCTGGCTGATAATGGCTCAAGAAGCTATCTGCCTAGCGGCGTAACAACAGTGGGTATGCAGAGGAACCTGTTGATACTGGGGAGCCTACTAGCTGCAAACGGCAGCGCGAACACACCGCGGACACCACCGTGAATCTGCGGCCCAAGAGAATAGCTACGACCTCTACGGGTGCTCACCAAATCCTGGTGAATAGCATCCATGGAGAACTTGTGGTGGGACAGGGTGTGATGAAGCAGTTGAACAAGCGAATACCATTTTGGAGCTCCTAGAACTACCACCAGGAGAAGACAGTGCAAAATGCAACCACTGCAAAAACAAGCAAAGGTCAGTGACGCGGCATGACTCGAGAGCTGCCGAGTAGAAGGCTACAGCCAGCAAGTTGTAGAAGGCTGTAGAGCGCAGTCTTCACGACGGCGTTAACGTTACCCTGACGAGGAGGGGATTTTTTATAATTCTAAGAAACGGCGAACGGCGTTGACGTACCAGTGACGAGGAGGAGGCCGGACTCGAGCTGCTTGAGGAAGACGACGCGCTTGCCCTTGTCGCGGCCGGCGAGGATGATGAGCACTGTGCCGGGGGTGATGCTCGTACTGCGGCAATGGGAGACAAACGGGGAGACGGAGCATGAGCATAATAAGTCACATGGCCGCGGCCGGAGAGGATGATGAGCACTGTGGCTGGGGTGATGCTCGCACTGTGATGATCGGAGACAAAGCATTGCGAACAGCAGCCATTCGCGAAGGACACAAAGCGAAGCAGGATCCCGTCAATGGCATCAGGCACCCAACCCTAATTCATCACTCGTGCCGGAGGACACGCGATTGGCGGAGATCGCGTAAGGATGGAGCGAAACCCTGGCGTCTGTGAAAGAGCGGGAGGAAAGGCTGTGACCAGAGCGAAACCCTAGCTCGCAGACCACTGACGCAGCGCTTACCAGACCCTTACCGCAGCTTCGAGGGACGATTAACGCGGGCCCTCTTCAGGGGCTTCTTGACAGCATCTAGGCTGTATGACTTGGGCGCCGTAGCCTCCGCCATAGCTGTAAGGAACAATGTCTAGGAGGTGCGAGAGGGGCGTGGGAGGGGAAAGAGGGAAAAAGGAACTACCTTCGTGTGTGGCACTGCATTTGGGGGGGATGTGCCAAGCGGAGGGCGGAAGACTCTGGAAAGAAGGGGATTTGTCGGGGAAGCGTGTCAAAAGAGTGGGGGGTTTGGGGGTGGGGGGGGCGCGGGGGGCTATGGTTAGGGCGCTGAGGCGCGGAAACTGGCGCGAGGGGTTGGTTTGGTTGTTTGAGGAGCCACTAGGGGTGGTGGCAGGGAAATCCGAAGCACGAAAGGTGGGGGGAGAGATCAGCGGAACTAGTAGCGAGAGGATTTTGGGGCGTTGTCAATCTGCAGATGACCTGCCGCATACCCCGAAAAGTATAGAGAAACAAAGTGGGGATATGGCAATATTTGTTGTACACTTTCATGGTGTAGACTATGTAGAATAGAATCAACAAACTGTCGTCACGAGCACGACAACATCCAGGGGCCATCCCTGCCACCCAACTCCGACTTGAGCAGTGAGTCCTGGAGAATGGAGGCCTCTAGGTTACAGCGATTCCTGTAGTTGCTAGGGAAGGCTGTGATCACCGGGAAGGGCTACGGTGTCCGCAGGAATTATTGCCAGTCTCCCTGTTGCCTGACCATCCCTACGCTTCGTGCTGTTTCTTTTCCGTGACTCCTAGGGCAGGAGCGGTCGTCGACGACTAGGAAAATAGCAACGTGCATGTATGGCGTTGTTTCCTGATTTCGCGGATGGCTTCGACGAAGAGCTCGATGTCGACGATTCTGACATTCTGTCCGCCCTGGGAAGGGGCCCGGATGCAAGCAAGAGGCAGTCGGGGCAGAATCAGACTGAAGGGAGCAAACTACCAGGAAACAGCAGTGCTCGGCTCGTCCGATCGAACGCAGCTGCGGACACCAGTGGAAGAAATGCTTTTCCAAACTTCACGCCTGCACATCAACGTGCTGATATTCAAGACAGAGATAGTAACGAGCTTCCAGGAGCCGCCGTCCCACCTCAGCCAAGTTCCGAGGATTTTAACTTCGCCTCAGCAAGGAGGACTGACGATGGCGCGGATTGGACGAGGCCTGGGGCCCGATCTCCGGCCATTGCCACTGGCGAATTCTCGCACGGCCGAGGACGGGGAGGGAATGTCACCCCGTCTCAGCATAATGATGCTGCAGGCCACAGTGTTGACGACGGGGTCAGTGGCTGGGCGAATTTCAGCCTCGGAGATTTCGACCTGGGCATTGATGGCTTGGCAGGGGGTGCTGATCAATTGCGAGGAGACCCAGACGGCGAACCTACTGAAGATCGTGATTTACCCTCTCAGCGTGCAGATCAGACTCGCGGATTGGGGGGTGACAGCGAGAGGTTCTCTGCGTTTGAACCAGGAGAAGATATGAGTTTCGGGCTGGACGATTCCGGAGCACCCAGAGGGAACAAGAGGAGAAAAAAGGCGAAGGGTTTGGAGACCAGGGTAAAAATTGAAGATGTGGATTTGAGTCCTGAAGAAAATGCCTTTTTTGAGAAAGATTCTCCTCCGTTGGATGGGAGAGCTCGGGCGGAGAGCCTGAGGATTCTTCCAGGCCCTATTGGCATCCTTCAGCGAAGACTAGCAGGGCTATCATGTGCTCCTGGTCATGGTGCTGGTGGCAGTGGCGGCCCATTTCCAGATAACCAATTCCTGCATGGCCAGCCAGAATTCACAGGAGACGAAGACTTCAGTAAAGGACCGTGGCTGTCATGCCTTGATGCGCTGGACATACATCCTTCTGCCTTTGGTACGGCTCTCGTTTTTTTCGTTGTCCTATCTCCTGCGTGATATTCATGCTACTTACTGCTGCTGATTCATCTGGTTCAGGAAAACCAGGCGCTGGCTGTGAAACAATAAGAAGCATTCGCCAAGCAGGCATATCAATGGTGGTGATGCAGGTGAGAAGACTGCGTTCTGAATTTTCCTGCTGGCTGTATGTGGCAGAAATTGAAGAGCATGATGCTGTATCTTCATTGAGTCTGTGTGATACCTTCGGCTTATCACAGCGCATGCTTGCTTGTGTGCTTGTCTGTTGTTTCCTGCACATACCAGCTCGCAGCTGTGGTGGAACGCCTTTCACTGCAACCCCGCGGTGACGCAAACGTCGAAATCAAGGTGGGTGAGCGGTTTGGTGTGCTCCTGGTTTATAATGCGCTACATATAGCACTTTGACTAGAGGCGTAAACGTGTGTGCGTGTACAGAGCTGCGCTGCGTGACAGTTGCGCAATTGTGTGACCAACGACGGAAACACCGCATTGTTAACAAAGACCGCAAAACAAGAAGCGACGTATGGAAAAGCATGAACATTTTTGCTGCACATTTTTACTTCATCAGGACCCCACGGGTCGTCTGGAGGGCTCATTGCACTGGAAGGTCATGGCTGATGCTGACAACAAGTCTCGGCTCAAGCGAGGATCTGCCTTTCTGCTTCGAAAGGTACGGTGGCCATCCATTCAGTGGCTATCAGCCTTATGCGCTGATGTGGTGTTAACCATGTGCTTACTTGTGGTGCCCTTCAGGTTGTGGTGTTCAGCCCTCGCAAGGGACTGCAATATGTCAACATAACTCTCGCCAATGTTGTTCAAGTGAGTAGAGTGGCTAGGTGCACTGTGCAAGTCGTCCTATTCTCCTTTCGGTTGTGGCTGCATCAATTTACATGGGCTGTATCTGCCTTGCTTTCGCTTAAAGCCCGAGTCTACATTGGTTGGCTATCAAGTTCAGGATTCCTGAACTTGTTTTCGTAAACGTAGGGGTAACCCAGTGAAGGGGACCACCACGTCACGACCCTCAGGGAAACGGGGCAGTGTGCAAAATTCGCTATTTGAGACAAATTTCGAACTCACTGTTCACTCATGCTGAAGTTGAAAACGCCTGGTACCATTCTAGACGCTTTTTTTGCCGAGACTCGCGATACGAGAACAGCCGTGTATAGTTTGCCCCCCCTCCCCTAAAGTCGTCACTGTTTGCGCACTGTTGATTGCGAGTTGTTGGGTTTCTTTTGTGTCGCGAGCAGCATATGTTTCTCGCTGACAAAAAAATCTTGCCTGAGGAGCTTTGCCGAAATTGGGTTCGCCCAGTGTTTTTGGCACTGCTTTCATGGTCAGTAAACATGGTTTTTTACCATTCTAATCTCGGGATTTAACCGCCCCATTTCAGGTGTTCGCTCCGGACACACCGATTCCCCCTGTGCCTGCATATCGGCCATCGTCTTCTGACCTATCAAGTGTGTGTCTGGCTGCCTTCTTCTTCCCAGATTGGCTCCTCTGCCCAAAATTTATTTCCCTTTTTGAATATTCTGTTGGCAACTTCTACAGTTTTTTTTTTTCCTTCCTATTCCACTTTGCAGCCCCACACTTTGGCTCTGTCCGTTCTCCTCCTTTCGGCTCCACAACTTCCCCGCCTGCACATACAGTCCATTCTCCAGCAGTGAACCGCACACCGGCCTGCATGATGTCACAGCAAAACCCCACCACAAGCAGAGCCTCCCCACCAGATGATCCGCGTCCACATGCTCACATACCCCACTCTCCAAGTTCGTTTGGGCCGACCCGGGTGCCAGCATCACCACAACCTGCAAGACAGGTCACACCGTCTGCTGCTCCAGCTCGCCCTGCTGCAGCTTCTGCAGCACATGTTAATGCTGCTTCCACTGCCGATGGAATGGCGAGTCCTCCGCCTGTTGCTGCCGATGCTACTTATTCCCGCTCCAAATTTGAGGGTTTTTTAAAACCTGCTGTGCCCTCTAGAGTTCCAGCGGCCACAATTGAACGGAGGGAGAAGGCGTGGGATTTCACGTCAATTGACGCAGAGGATGCAGAGATCTGCCTCACCCCCATGGTGGCTGATGCGGGTTTGGAGAGCCATAGAGGAACAGCTCCCTATCACGTTTCTGCTGCACTAGAAGGCGGTGACGGGAGGCCATGTGATGACCAATTCCGTCAACTTCCAGTTCCAGAACGTCAGAGATTTTTATCAGCTGGCAAGAACGCTGGCATCCATGGTTCGTCGGCTCCTGTGGGGAGTGCTACTGGAGCTGATGTCCGAGGCGAGCCTGAAAGAGATGTGGATATTCGAGACATGGAAGGCATTGGATGTGGTGTGGACCGCTCAAAGCGGAATGAGGGGAGTGTTCTTGAGGAGCCTGTAGATGTACTGAAGAAAGTTGGGTGGGATGATGATGCCTTCGGAGCCTTCTTCGATGATGATGATGTTGATGGTATGTTTGCAGCATTGGATTGTAGCAAGGGTGATACCTAAGTGTAAGATTGTTCCACAATTTACTGCTTTTTTAGCGAATCTCCTGTCTAAGAGAGCGTTCTGAAGTTTGGCCGAACTGTGAAGTTTTGCCAGCCGACTCGCCACGTCGGCATTGCACATTGCAATGTTTGGCCGTGCGCTTCGAACTTTGGCCAGCCAGCCCCTACCGGCCAGAATCCGTGCGACGAAACCCAAACAACGTCAGCGACTGTGCACGATAAGCGGTTCCAGGAGTGATTGGCGAACATGCTCTTGAATCGTGACGACAATGAACCCACGAAAACGTTTGTCACCTGCCCAGCACACAGGAGAACTGCAACGTGAACATGCATCGCACTTCCCGACCCAAACCCATGATGAACTCCCCAACCAAGCATTCGGTTCTCCAGAAAATATATATTGTATTCCGCGGCACTCAAGACGCATTTAGGATCTTCCCTCTATCACGACATCAACCATGGCTAGGACACTTGAAACTGCTCTAGCCGCTGTAGCCGGCTTCCTCCAGTGGAGAGATATGGATGACGACGCCACAGACACAATTCTCCTGCAATTAGCGGTCGAGGCTCTGGACGCCATCGCCGCGGAGTCCGCGTTGCGTTGTGCAGAGAGCCGCCGCCAAGTTATCAGACGCAACAAGCTCGCACGTGCCGCCAGGGTAGCATGGTGGGTCGATCGCATAGACACCATGGATAACTCTGAATTCGTCGACCTCTTCAGAATCGACAAAGACATACTCGCCCACTTAGAGGAGGGGTTAGCCTCGGACTTCGATAGACTAGTGCTAATGCACGGCGTACCGAGATCTGTCTGCCATGCGATCGTGGACCGCTTCCTCCTCTCCTTCCCAAAACGCTACAAGGAGACATGGGTGCGTTTCCCCACACCTGACGATATGGCCGAGATGGCCACCGAGTTCCGCGATGCGCGAGGTTTCCCGAACGTCATTGGTGCGGTCGACGGGACCCACCTGCAGGTGAGAGGCATTGAGGACTACCGTTCCGAGTATTACTGTCGGAAACAGATTTATTCGGTGCAGTTGCAATTAACTGTTGATGCGCGCTGTAGAATCTGGGATTACGTTGTGGGGTGGTGGCGAGACGGGACGACGCGGAACTTGAATAGGTGGTGGGAGCTGCCGGAGATGCAGTCGTACGTCTGGCCCCCAGTGGCAGACACCACGCGGGAAGCGCTTGTTGCACGGCGTCGTGACTTCGGCATGCACGCCCACGCGGCGTGGCTCATGCGGCATGAGGAGCGCGACCATCAAACGGAGGGGCGCTGAAGTACCAATGCTCGTCAGGGCCCAACACGACAGTCGCCTGGGTTGGGCCCGCGGGTGCTGACTCATACCCCGTCGTGCGCACGGGGACTTGGTGCCCGGACGCAGTGTACCACGGCGGCATGGGTGGGCCGTGATGCACAGCAGACTCTTGGCAGGTCGGAGAGCTGTGGCTACCCGTCCCGCGGCTACCAGGTGACGGGGATGCGTTGGGGATTCCCGCGGTCGCGCACGGTAGCAGTGATGGCGCGTTGGTGTACGCGGGCTGCGGCACGAGTCGCTCCAGGACGTCGACGAGGCGGCCAACCGCGACCTCCTGGCGTTCAGAACGCTCGTGCATGAGTCGGGTCTTCGCGTCCGCGACAAGGACGTGTCCAGAATGGGAGGGTGATTCGACGCCCTTTCTCTTTGCAGGAATGTGGGCAGGTGAGCCGTCCGTGGCTGGGGGGGAGGTGGAGGGAGACGGCATCAGGTTTAATAGGCACAGGCTGTACTCGGCTGTTGCTTGTGTTGCAAAGCCCGTGGACATAACATTTGCGGCTGAAATGATGTTTAGTAATTGACATAGTAACTCTTTCTACTCACCCCCCTCGGTTGGCGCCTGCGAGCCTGTCTCGTGTGTCGGTGCCTCCTGTGCGGCGCGTGGTGCACGTGAGCTTGTTGGTCTCGCATTCTCCGTCCTTGCCCCACCCTCGTCGACGATGTGTGGGTCGGGCGCGCGATTCGACCGCCAATAGTTCCACACGTGGGGATACCACTCGGGCTTAGGCATGGGTTTGTTGCCGGATGTATTGTCGGCTACCTCGATATCCTCCATCCGCTTTGAAATATATTTCCATTTTTTTTGCATCGCGACAATTGGGCGATTCCATTCCGGGTTAGCGTGCTTGATGACTATATGCAGTTTCTCCCATGGCTGTCCACCTTGCTTCCCTTTCAGCTTGACGAAATCCTCTTTCGCGGCCCATATCGCCGCAGCGAGCTCAGTAAGCTCACTTTCGCGCCAGTATTTGTTTGACGGGTCCGCTCCGACGGCGGTGTTCTTGCATTTCAGGTCCGGCGTGTCTTGGAGCTTGTCGGAGTCGTCAGCACCCGTGTCGTCGAATTCATCGGCGGCGTTCACGGTGTCGTAGACGCCGTAGCTTCCGTCGTCCGTGTTGACATCGCCGGCAGCGTCTGGCGCATCCAGGCTGGCGTAACAGTCCTTCTCGTCGGTTGCCTGGTCGCTGGCTGAAGAGGCTGGCCCATTGGCAGATGACGTCTCCTTCCGCACTGGAGATTCCGTCAAGCCGATGAGCCGAATGCGACTGATGTCACGCTTCTCCAAGTCTTCGAGGTAACGAATCAGCGGGGGCGCCCGACGGGGCACGTCGACATGTAACTCCTTGGACTTACGCTTACCAGTGTTGTGCATATGTTTGGGAGCCATGGCTCGTTACGACGCCGGGCGCTGGTGTTTTGTGGGTGTGTAGAGCAGTGGTTTTGAATAGATTGGCATCGAGTATTTGTATTCGCAAGGCACACGCTGCTCTGTGCTCGTGTAGCTGTTGGTCCACCATTTCGCGCGGCCTTTTGTCACTGTGCGCTTCGATGCAGGCGTTCAATGTGAAATTTTGGATGGCAACGGGACTTTGGCAGAAACAAGCGGGCCGTCAGTTGTCGCAGCCACGTGCGACAGAAACTGTACTCTCTCGCATATCATTTTGCGCCTCGCCAGACCATTTGATTTGGCGCGATTGGGTGCCGTTCGCAAATTGTCGCGGCCTGGTCGCCTAGTGTTTCGCAGAAAGGTTGGCCAAAGTTCACCTACCACAACTTTGCCAACCAAAACCTCAAACTTTGGCCAAACTTTCGCTGACATGGCGAGTCGGTCGGCCAAACTTCAACTCGGCCAAACTTCAGAACACCCTCTAAGGCCGCGTTCTGAAGTTTGGCCGAACTTTGAAGTTTTGCCAACCGACTCGCCACGTCGGCATTGCACATTGCAATGTTTGGCCGTGCGCTTCGAACTTTGGCCAACCAGCCCCTTCCACACCTTGCCGGCCAGAATTCGTGCGATTTGGGTCCACGAACAGCTGCGACCGAGGATAAAACCTGGTTTCTGCATACTTGGCCGGCCACGCCAAAGAAATGTGCCATCGACCAAGCCACAAAAGCAGCACCAACCTGCCCGGCGCACGAACAGCCGTCAAATTGCGAATGCTCCACCCTTCTTCACCAAAGCCTTCATCAACACCCAAACCAGAAAGGAGATTTTCTTAAAAACCCGTGTGTTAACTTCCTCGAGTTGCGTACCTTTGGTTGGAAGATCCCTGGAAGTGCTGCCTGATAGCCAATCCCGTCTTTCCACCTAGCCAACCTACCTTCCGTTGAACTGCTTGGCACAATGGTTTTAACTTTTTATTATGGTGGAAATTTGGTGATTTTTTTCAGGACAACTTTTCCAAAATTATCTGGAAGCTGGCCGTCAGGTGTCGCAGTCCTCTGCGACCCAGATTGTGTTCTGTCGCATATCGTTCTGCGGATCGCCTGTCGATTTGATTTGGTGCGATGGGGTTCCGTTCGCAAAATGTCGAGGGCTGGTCGCCTAGTTTTTCGCAGATAGGTTGGCCAAAGTTCACCTACCTCAACTTTTGCCAACCAAAACCTCAAACTTTGGCCAAACTTTCGCCGACGTGGCGAGTCGGTCGGCCAAACTTCAACTCGGCCAAACTTCAGACCGCACTCTAAGCTGTTATGATTTTCTCGACTTCCTGGACTGAAGTGCGAGTGCCATGACTTGCAATCCCACAAGCACCATAGGCTGACAGGTCCACTTGTTTGTAATGGCTGACCGAGCCGAGCTCGTTATGACAGGGCCGACTTGGCTATGCGTTCCCGCCAACAGCCAGAGAAACGGAACAATCCTGACCGTTATTCCATTTTAACATGCCATCCATCACCGTTCGATATGTTCCGGTGGGACAGTTCTCAAGCGCGAAGACGCATTCCCTAGGATCCTGGGTTCTCCTCCACTCCACTCCCATTCATCCATTCCCTCCCAATCCAAGGTATTGTCTGCCCCTGTTGCCATACATCACTATCCACAGAATCAGTTCAGCTATCTCATTAGCTCCACGCGGCCATCTTGCCGTTTTTCTCGAACCATAACAGCGTTGTTCTCTGGACGCGACACAGCTTGTCGTGTGATTGATCAGTCAACGATACCCCAGCTTTCCGAGCCATCCTTCCGCACAGCTTTCAAGTGACCCCTTCCAGAGACTGACCTTTCGCTACCCTACTCCTGAACCCGACTAGTCTAGTTTCGTTCACGACCATCACTGGACACCGTTTTGGGGTGGCTGTCGGCGCGCTACATCATGAAACGACTCTTGGACGCTTCCGCCGATCGCGGCGACTCGCCGATTGCTGAAGCGGATTCATCCGCGGAATGCTCGTCCCTTACTTCGCTGCTGGACGACGGCACTCTCTCCCTCGTTCTCTCCTTTCTTCCCACGCGCTTCGCCGTTACTTCCGCTGCGTTCGTCTGTCGCCGCTGGTGTCGCCTTGCGCTGCGCGCCTGCGTGCGATCGCTCCGTCCGTCGCCGTTCGTGCTCGAGAGCTTAGCTCCTAACTCTCACTCATTCCTCAATAGTTTTGACTCCGAGGCGCAGATGCTCGAGCTGACGACGCGATTCGCCGCTACACTCCGCTCTCTGGAGATCCGTTCCGGCGCGAGAAATTTAATCGACGCTGGCGACGACAAGCTGACGGCCCATAGCATCGCGAAAGTACTTCAAAACGCGTCGCGGATCGAGTCCCTTTTGCTGGTCGGTTGCGTCGAGCGGAGCCGCACGGTAGAAATCTCGCTTCCGATGTTCTATACAGAGTTTGCCACGGTGGTGTTCCCGGCCCTGCCACGTGAGCTCCGATCCCTGAGTATCCGCTCGGAGCATCTTCTCTGCCCTGTCGCGTGCACGGATGCACAAGTGTTTTCGCTAGAGGAAGCTGGTCAACATGGTAGCCGTAGGGACGATCGCGAGATACTAAGCACGAGAACCGACCGGGTGTGGGGTCACGCGGATGGAATTGAATTCGGTGACTCGTCCGACGTTCCCCCCCTCCGCCACCCCGCCTCCTCCTCGTGTCCTTCCGCCGCCCCCGCCAGCTCCTCATGTCCCTGCGCCGCCGCCTCCCCCCCTGCTTCCGTTCCTCGTCATCATCTTTCTGCTGCTCCTCCCCCTCCTCCTCCTCCTCCTCCTCCTCCTCCTCCTCCTCCTCCTCCTCCTCCTCCTCCTCCTCCTCCTCCTCCTCCTCCTCCTCCTCCTCCTCCTCCTCGTCCTCCTCGTCCTCCTCCTCCTCCTCCTCCTCCTCCTCCTCCTCCTCCTCGTCCTCCTCCTCCTCCTCCTCCTCCTCCTCCTCCTCCTCCTCGTCCTCCTCCTCCTCCTCCTCCTCCTCCTCCTCCTCCTCTCCTCTCCCCCTCCTCCTCCTCCTCGTCCTCCTGGCGCTCCTCCTCCTCCTTCTCGTCCTCCTCCTCCTCCTCCTCCTCCTCCTCATCGTCCTCCTCCTCCTCCTCCTCCTCCTCTTCCTCCTACTCCTCCACTTACTTACCGCCCGCCACAGCCCGTCTTCCTAACCGATCTCCATCTCCACTCAATCGCCTCCCTGCTCCCTAATCTCCACTTCCTTAACCTCGACACACCGGCGGACTTCAAGCCCAAGACCATCGGCCACCTCGCCACATCACTCCCCCACCTGGCAGCCCTCTCCCTCTGGTCCGACGGCATCACCTGGGAGACGGTCTCGCTCCTCCTCGCGCTCCTCCCCTCCCTGCAGCACCTCTCGCTCGTGTCATTAGCCTTGGATCCGCACTCCTCGCGTCAGGGAAGACTCACACAGGACTCAACCCTAGCTCGCCTTTCCTCGCGTGCCATAGCCGCATCCAACTCCGACCTCTTCTCATGCACCTCAGGCTCATCCCTCGCGCCGTCCCTCTCCTCCATCCGTCTGTACATAGGCCCCCATCGCTCCGTCACCTGGGACTTGCCTCCCGCCTCCTCGCTCCTGCTCGCCCTCACTGCTGGCCGCTCACTCAATGGCACAGAAAAGCGCATCAGCGACAGCACCAGAGGGAGCAGCAGCAGTAGCTGCAGTAGTTACGAGACTGCTAGGGGCACCAGCCTGCCATTCCCACATCCGTCGCCCTTCCCTCTGCGCGCGTTCCACGCCCATAACTGCCCTAGCTCCACGTGGCAGCTTGTGGGCCACCTGTTCCGCCACCTCACCACTCTGGATCTCTCCCAGTCCGACTCTATCACGGCCGAGAACCTGGCCGCAGTCCACCACCAGTTTGACAGCCACATCAACAGCCGCGTGGTTGGTGGCTCAGCCGAGTGGCAGAGCACCGAGGTGGCGTTCTGCAAGGCCATCCGCTCCCTCCCACTCCTAGAACGCCTCGCCCTTCCCTTCGCTTCAGATGGCATTCTGATGGAAATTTCGCTGTCCTGCCCGAAGCTCACCGCCCTGCACGCGCAGCCGCTAGCGCGGTCCGTGGCTGTTCCTCGCGATGGCCTCCTTCCTGCGGTAACATATGCCCGAGCGAACCCAATCCTTGTTCGCTGTCCCTCCTCCTATGCCAGGACCCTCCAGCGCATCGCCCTCCCTCCCATCCAACCACGGGTGACTGATGCCGGGGTGACAGCGATCGCGAATGGATGCACGCGATTGGAGCAGCTGAGTCTGGGGGGTTGTGTGAACGTTGGGCCAATGGGGCTGCGACAGCTGGCGAGGAGGTGCGGGCGGCTGGAGGTGCTGAGGTTGGCGCTGATAGGCGTGGATGATGCTGCTGTTGTAAGCAGCGCTGTTTGCGACAACTGGCAGGGTGGTAGTGCTGCAGGGGATGCTGCTGGAGCTGGCTTTGGTGACTTGAGTGCCCAACTCCAACTGCAGCTGCCTCAGCTCGTTCTGCTAGACCTGTACGGCTGTTCAGGTGTGTCTTCCACCCTCCTGCTGGCGCTCTTAGCAGCAGCGAGAGAGCTAGCTGGCTGCAGTGAGGAGTGTAGGGATGGGTCGGCTGAAATGGAGGAGGAGGATTGAGGACTATCAAGAGAGGCCTGCAGGCGAGGGAGGGGGTATGAGAAGGGAAGGATGGAGCTGGAAAGAGTGTTGGGTTGCAGGATTTTAGGTTGCGGCGACTGCTGGTGTCTCCTGAAGTCATTGGTGGGGCTCAGTGGGGGTGAGAAAGGAAGGCGGATCGGAGGGTGCGATGGGGGTTTGGGGTGAAAAGAGTGAGGATTTGAGGCTAGCAGCAAGGGAGGTGGGATGTTGTTGCCGCGATTGGTGGTGACAAGTAGAAGGACGGCGGAGCATGTATTGCCGTGGGATGGTTTCTTTGGAGAGAGGAAACTTGAGGTGGATGTAAGCGATGATGATGAGCTCTGAAGCGCTCTTGGAAGGTCCAGAGTTGTGGGTAGGTAGTTGTCGAAAAGTCGGCCTGAATCTGTTATGTTGTGTTCATATTAAAGCGAGGTCTCGAGAAGCGCGAAACCAAATCCAAAAGGTTTGGTTTTGGGTTGACGAAATTAGCGAAACAGTAACAGCGCCCAACCAGCACCCCTCACCACACCTCGCAATTTTCGAGACCCCCCGAAACCAAAACCTTTGGATCTGGTTTCTGCTTCTTGAGACCCTCGCTTTAAGAGGGCTGTCCTCATTGCTTTGTACATTGGATTCTTGTTCATACTCAAAAGAAGTTCCCCACTGTTTTGTTATTTTGAACTAGCGGAGGGACTTCACCATTGATATTGCATTACTGAAACGCCAGCACAGCTTGTTCAGCTGTTTCCTGAGAGTTTATGAAGGGGTGGATTGCTCTCGATGTTGGAAACAGGAGTGCATACACAACACATGCATACACATGAATGATTTCATATGAAATGTAAGTTCTCTCAGTACAGTTTGAAACGCTCTCAGTGCAATCCCCATTGATTACCGGATAACGGGGCACTGCCCCGTATCCAGTGCAGAATTCCAAGCTTAGTGCCGTGCGGTTCACACTAACCGCTGACAGATGCGAGGGAGACAAATCAGCCAGCCCGGCACCCCTGGCTAAGCGAAGCCTGCAGGAAAGCAGGAAGCCCCAGGCCATGTCTGGAAAATCTTTCCGCCAATCGGTTTGGGAGCTGAACCAATCTCAGCCGTTCATGTACCCCCCCATCCATACCACACCGTCAGTTTGCAGGGAGAAAACTGACACCACTCTCGAGTCACCGGTTCGCGATTCGGCCCACCAGAAGCTGGTTCTCGGAATTTGTGGAAAACCTTCCAACCAAGAAACCTGTTCCGCACAGTACCACACCACATCCGTCACTGGCCTCTTATAAAGCCTTCAGCCTTCTTGATATACACAATCCACTTTACTCGCCTCTCCTCTTCTGGCTCTCATCCGCGGTCATACGTAGGCGACACAGCTACTCGTTATCGATTGTTCTACTTATACCGCAGCTCAGTCGTCCTTCGCTCACGTTTGTAGTAACGCGAACAATGGATCCGACGCCAGAGACCCATGCGACGTTCGCGACCCCTTCCCCTGGCGACGCTTCACAGCACCAAACCGCACCCGATCAGACCCCGGGTTCCGTCCGCATGCTAGCCCTTCGTCCTTCGCCTTTCGCGCTCGAGAACTGTCCGAACGACACCAGCGACCTTCCGACGAGTACTTCAGATTCCAAGTCGCATATGGCTGGACTTGACGACGCGGCTCGCCGCTACTCTCCGCTCTCTGGAGATCCGTCCCGGCGCGGGAACGCAACGGGAACTCCAGACGACGGCGATAAGCTGTCGGCCGACAGCGTCGCGCAGATCCTTCAAATCGCGTCCGCGATCGAGTCGCTCTCGCTGGTCAGCTGCATTGAGGCGGGGCGATCGCCGGCGACGCGCCGGCGTCGCTCCCCATGACCAAATCAGAGTTCGCCACGGTGGTGCTGCCGGCGCTGCCACGTCAACTCAAGGCCTGAACCTGCGCTCGGATCATTTTCTGACCCCTTCCGCGTGCGTGGCATGGGTCGAGGGCAGCCGAGATCGCAGGCCGAAGCTCCGGCGATCGCGTGTGGGGCAAAGACGATGGCTTTCAATTCGCCGGCTCGACCAGCGTCCCCCTTCCCCCAACCCAGGCGCCTCCTCTGCGCGTGCACTCAACCAACCCCCCTCCTACTACTGACGTACCTACTACAACTCCTTCTTCCCTCCCTTCTCCTCCCCATTCTCCTCCTCCTTCTCCGCCTTCTTCTCCTCCCGCTCCCCCTCCGCCTCCCCCCGTCCTCGCGCCCCATGCGCCCTCGATCCGCCTCCGCGCGTCTTCCTAACGGACATCCACCTCCACTCCATCGCCGCCTCCTTCCCTAATCTCCGCTCCCTAAACCTCGACACCCGGGCGAGCTTCAAAGCCGAGACTATCGGCCACCTCGCAGCATCGCTCCCTCACCTGGCAGCCCTCTCCCTCTGGTCCGACGGCATCACCTGGGAGACGGTGTCGTTCCTCCTCGCTCTCCTCCCGTCGCTGCAGCACCTCTCCCTCGTGTCTCACGCCTTGGATCCACAGTTGCACTCGCGCAAAGGCCGCCGCTGCATTGCCCGTGGGGGCTCCTGCTCCTGCCTCCTGCTCCTGCTCCTGCTCCTGCTCCCGCTGCCGCCAAAACTCATCCCCTGCCGCCGACCGAAGGTGCTTCAGCAGCGGGTGATCCAGCCGACTCCGAAACCCTAGCTCTCTTCTCCGCGCTCTCCATTGCAGCACCGAAGCCCGGCGACCTCTTCTGGTGCCCCTCGGGCTCGTCCCTCGCTCCGTCCCTCTCCTCCATCCGTCTGTACACCGCCCCCACCGCTCCGTCTCCTGGCACCTGCCTCCCGCCTCCTCCCTCCTTCTCGCCCTCGCTGCTGGCAGTGGTGGCGGTGACAGCAGCAGCAGCTTGAGCGGTAGTGCCCCCAGCCTGCCTGTCTCACGCCCGTCTTCCTCCCCCTGCGCTCCTTCCACGCCCAAAATTCCCCCGCAGCCACGTGGCAGCTGGTGGGCCACCTCTTCCGCCACCTTACCACTCTGGATCTGTCCCAAACCGATTCGCTGCCACCCTCAGCCCAACCCGACGTTGGCTCGGCTGAGTGGGGGCGAAGCGAAGAGGCGCTGTGCAAGGCCATCCGCTCCTTCCCTCTCCTGGAGCGCCTCGCCCTTCCCTTGGCGTCAGACGCCGTTCTGACCGAAATTTCGCAGTCCTGCCCGAACCTCACCGCCCTGCACGTCCAGCCGCTAGCTCGTTTCGTTGCTGTTGCGTCTGCTGCTGCCGCTAGCGGCGACTTCCTTCAAACCTGCTCTTCTTCCTACGCCAGGACCTGCCTGCGTGTCGCCCTCCCTCCCATCCAGTCACATGTGACTGATGCCGGGGTGTAGCGATTGCTAATGGATGCACGCGATTGGAGCAGCTGAGCCTGGGCGGCTGTGTGAATGTTGGGCCAGTGGGGCTGCGACAGCTGGCGAGGAGGTGCGGGCGGCTGGAGGTGCTGAGGCTGGCGCGGACAGGGGTGGATGATGTTGCTGTCTTGGCGGCGCTGTTTGGCGACACCTGGCAGGGTGCCAGTGCTGCTGTGAATGATGCTTCTGCCCCACTCCAGCTGCAGCTGCCCCGGCTGGTTCTGCTGGACCTGTTTGAATGCTCGGGTGTTTCCTCTGGTCTCCTGCTGGCGCTCTTAGCAGCAGCCAGGGAGCTCGCTGGCAATAGTGGGGAGGGTGTGGCTGTGGCTGGGAAGGAGGGAGTGTGTCACGGGTTGCAGGATTTCAGGCTGCGGAGGCTGCTGGTGTCTCATGGTGTAATTGCTGGGGATCAAGGGACGGGGGTGAGGGAAGGGGAAGGTGCAGGGGAAGGAGGAGGAATTGAGAGTGGTTCTGCTGGTGTGGATCTGAGGGTTGCAGCAAGGGAGGTGGGAATGCTGCTGCCACAGCTGGTCGTGTCGTGCAGGCGGACAGCGGAGCATGTGTTGCCGTGGGATGGATTTTTTGGAGAGAGGGAACTTGGTGTGGATGGAAATGGTGATACTAGGAATGCTGAGATCTAGTGTGATTTATCAGCTTGGAGGAGGTGTTTGTGTGTGGTAATGTGGAAGTGGAATCTAGAAGGGATGTATAGCCTTATGTTTGTGTCATTTGTGTGATGTGTGTCCATTTTTGAGTAAAAAAGTAAATGTAATTTCAAGAAACAGAAGAGCGAAAGCGGGGGACGACCAATCCCAAGGAAAGTTGCGACTGGTCGGCGATGGCCTGAGCTCTGGGCGATATTCACGTAACCCTTCGTTCAAAGCTGGGGACTTTTGGCGAACCCGAACGCCAACAGCCAAGGTCGAAACAGCCATGTACAAGAGTAGTCTCGGCTAGTATGGACATGGTGCTTGTGCTATGTAGGAAGTGGGGAGTGTGGTGAGCGGGTCAGCAGCCGGGCGGAGGCAGCACGAGTGTACATTCTGCTGAGCTTTCCCTTCCTGTCGAGAATTCAGCGTTCTCGCCGTGCCTCCTAAGAAAGCCTGGTGCTCCGCGTGTAGTTTCCCTCGCCCGGCAATGAAGGTGATCGGCCTCACGGGCGGAATAGCAAGCGGGAAGAGCTCCGTGTGTCAGGAGCTCAAGTCGCGGTTCGGATTTCCCGTGATTGACGCTGACAAGACCGCACATGTACGTGTTCTTTGTTCGTCGCCTCTGCGTGAGGAGTCTATTTTTTAGGCGCCTCAAAAATAGGCTCCTCACGCTCTTAGTTCCTCGCCTCTGCTCTTCTGGTAGGAGTCGCGATTTCGTTTCAAGATGACTCGTGGGGAGCACGATTCATCTAGATGTCCCACGTGGGTTCTGGATTCCTTTCCTCGCCCTGATTCCCATTCAGTTCTACCGTTGTTCATGAGAGCTGGCCCGAGATGGCTGTACCGCCCATCCACTTCCGGTATCTTCTTCTCCAGTGATTGTCAACACTGGCCTTGCTGTTTCCTCGTGACATTTCATGTGAAAGAAGCTGTTCCTTTCGTCGTCCAATCCCCCCCTTTCCCCGACCCCACCTATCAGGATGTGATGCGGAAGGGCACCCCGGCGCATGCTCAAGTGGTGGGGGAGTTTGGGCCTTCGGTGCTGACGTCAGACGGGGAGATCGATCGCAACAAGCTGGGGGAGATTGTCTTTGTTGACGCCGGCAAGAGGAAGAGGCTCAACAGGTGAGGCCTAAGGTGGAGCTGGTGGCAGTATGGTAAGGTTGCATCATCATTTACCCCCATATTATGTTACAGTGAGTTTTCATTACCTCTCTCCCTGCCTTAATAGAGCAGGCTATTGCCGACCTTTTTCATTGCATCTTCATCTTGCCTGCTGCAGTTCATTCCCTCAGTGCTTATCCATTCCCTCTATTCTTCATCCCATTTCACCCCTCCAGCATCATGCACCCCCACATTGCCTATGCCATCGCACGTCAGCTCTTCTCACATTGGTTGGCCAACAACCCACTGGTCATTCTAGATGCTCCCCTCTTGTACGAAACCGGCCTTAATCGTGTCACAAGAGCAGTGATTGCTGTCTTTTGTGAGAAGGAGCAGCAGGTGGAGCGTTTGATGAAGCGCAATGACCTGCAGGAAGATGACGCTCGACGGAGAGTGGCTGCTCAAATGCCACTGGAGCTCAAAGTGAAGCGTGCCGATTATGTGATAGACAATACAGGCGAAAGGCGTGATACGTTGGAAAATGTTGCAAGAGTAGCGAAGTCTGTGGTGAGCAACCACAATAGTGTGGCTGATTGGTTGCTTGCACCTAGAAGCGTGGCCCTTGGTGTACTAGCCGTACTCACAATTGCTGGCTGTACTTTCTTGTACTTGACATAATGAGTTTCTTTCTTGCGTAGTTCGCTACCTTGGTCACATACTTTAGGCTTCCTATGGATTCTCACTAAGCAATGTGAATCGTTTTTTAGCGAGTAACTTTGCTGTTCAACTGATTCCTTCCTTCGAAGCTTCTTCATTCTCGACTTGAGGAAGATGGGTTCAAGCAGCGAGCATACTTGTCTAGCATTCTTGTCGTGGGTCAACTTGTATTGCTTCCCCAGTTTCCCGCCATTTGACATGTTGAATGCCTACATCTGCTCTTGTGAGATGGACAAGAGAACATTATGCGACTTGTAGGAGGGGCAGCATCAGTATTTTAGGTAATGGTTTACCATAACGCGCTTCTCGATGCGGTGCTTGTGCCAGCGGGTCTGCTGTTACTTGCGTCGTATCATGTCTGGCTGCTCGCTCAAATAAAGCGCAGACCTCTCGCCACTGTCTTTGGCGCTGCTCACGCAAACCGTCGCACTTGGGTGCAGTGCGTGATGAAGGCACGTACAATCTCACCAACGTCCCAAACCTTCCTGAAATTTAGGCGTTGTAGTACGTCTCGTTTTTGCTGACTAAAGAGAAGAATTCGTGAAGCTGACGGGTTTTTCTTATCCCATCCATCAGGACAGCAACGCCACCAATGGCATGCTGGCAGTTCAATCTCTCCGAAACTCCATCATGGCGTGTGTCTTACTGGCTTCCACGTCAGCTATTGGTGCAGTTGCAATCGCTACAATCCTTACCAGTATCCGCCTTGACAACCTTCAAGAAGCTCTGTCTTCTCTGACCATTGGATCAGCCTCATCTGACCTGCTGCTTCTGAAAGTCTTTTGTATATTCCTCTGCTTCCTCTTCGCATTTCTGTGCCACACCCAGGTGCGTTTGTGTCGATCTACATCATTGTCCTTTCCAAAGTCTTTTCTCCATTCTGTTAGCCTCTTGGTTCTTGAAGTTGCGTTTCCTCCTGTTCTCAAAGGTTGTGGATTTATGCTCAACCGTAGCTTCCCTGCGTTCCCCCTTGCCAATCACAGGCCATCCGATTCCTCAGTCATGTGAATTTCCTTATCACGATCCCCATTGATCCTGTGACTTCTCCTGGTCTCTCAATCGCGTATGTGCAAAGAGTTCTTGCACGAGGAGACAACTTCTTGACCGTGGGCAACCGCTCATTCTACTTCCTTCTCCCTCTTGCTCTTTGGTTCTTTGGCCCTATTCCGATGTTCCTCTCATCCGTTATTATGGTGGCTGTACTCAGCATCTCAGATTTTTCGCGTGATTTTCTTGTCATCCTTACACCCGAGGCCCTAACACGACAGGATCCATAAATCAGCGTGGATGTGCTCAGTGTCTGTGCTTATCTGGTGCATCTGCAGGATGTATACATGTGACGCATACGTTTTTACAAGGTTGTACATGATTGCTCCACACAGGTGTAGATGGGTAGTCACATTGGCTGATGACTAACAAGGCCAATGCGGATTTGTTTTTATATGGACCATGTCTTACTCTGGATCTATGCTAACAGCCACCACCAACAGCAGTACTCTGGGTATGTGTGATTATGTGAACAAAATAGAATCACGTGTTCTATCCCAAGACACACGGTATAGCGACATAATGTTATAGAATTTATTAGGAAGGCGAACTTCACGCGATCAAGAGTTGAAAGGTGCTATTGTTGCTTAGTACAATGCTTCTGTTGTTTCTTATAAAAAAAATCTAGATGTTTCTTCGTGGTGTTTTGTTATGTTTAGGCCTGGTTACCCACAGACGCGTATGCGCGTGCCCTGTTCAGACCTCCCCCCTCAGTTGCCATGCCAGCCTTTACAGCGTGACTGCTGCTGCTTGCACATCTCGTCGTTGCCCCTGGTTTTAGGGTTGAGCAAGCCGACTCCTTTCGCCCAACAGCAACACTTAGTACAGCGGCACAGCAGGGCAGCACGAGCAGCAGCAGCAAGACAAGCCCAACACGCACTGAAATACAGACGCTCGCCTCTTCCTTGCGTTGTTCGCCCGAATCGCGATGCCTCTCCTTCCAGCCACCGAACATCTTGGATGCATGGCCAAGCGCCACTTGAAAGTTGAAAGCCACAGTTCCTTGACGGACTCGTTATCGCTCGCTGGTACAGTACGGGGGGGAGGTGTGATGCGTCGGTTGGAGCATATGCAGATTTCCACCCTCCGATCAATTGACTAGGAAGCCGCCACGAGGCGTGGGACACACCACGTCAAAACGCCACCATTCCGGTTTCCGTCAGTGCACCCCACAGTTCGTCCGTTTTCGACAGGACACTTGCAAGTGCGGCGCGAGACCTCGGGAATGCCAGATACACCTCGTCGGTACCGTCCCGACAGGTGGGACAGGCTGGGACAGGCTGGCTGGCAATCTTCCGGTAGCTGCTGCTGCTCACTAGATACACTGTATACAGTTGTCGATCGTTGACTTCTCGGCGTGTACTGTACTGTACTCGATACACGCTGCACCGTCGCGTCGTTCACATTGCCAAACGGTACTATCATTGCCGCACGCAGCTCGACAGTGTCGCAGCGCCAGCCTGGCGGCAGCGGCAACTGGGAGGGCAACAGGCAGCAGGCAGCACGCAACAGGCATCCTTGCTGATTGAGAGACCTTCGATTCGTATGGCGAAATTCTTGGTTTCCGGCCTCTTGGTTTCATCGGCTTTTAGGGGTTCAGCTGAGCGCCAAGGGTGCGCCGGGGGGCCAAGGAGCGCCCAGCGAAGCTAAGCCAGATTCTTTCGCGGTTCGCTTCGAAAACAGAGCGAGATTCTCTTCGTCTTCCCCCTCGCGGTTTTATAGCGACCTAGAGCTTCTCATCATGACGAATCCCACATCAGCAACGTTTTGGGTGACACCTCTCCCCTCGAGCTTGCGAGGTCGGAGCGAGTCTGAGTCCGAGTCAAAACTCGAGCTCTCATGGCGGCCTCCCAGGTGCTTCAAGGGCTCGTGAGGAGGCAGCGGAAGCGGGAAGCAGGCGTGATGACTTCAGTGATCATGAAGGATGTGGAAATCCGCGTTAAGAGCGAGGCGCCGCTGGAAACCAAGAATTCTGTCGCCGAAATCCCTCTTAGAAAGCACGAGCAACCGCACCCGAGCCAGTTTTCAATGTTAACGAATCGCCGTGAGCAGCCGCCAGGCAGCGATTTCCAGACGGGAGCCGGGTTTCACAGCCTTAGCCTATCCATGGCGGAGCGCAGCTCTCGGCCCGTCATTGACAGTGACAATTTTGTCTGTACGGCGGAGCACCCAGTGATCGTATCACCACCCGCGGCGGGAGCAGCAGTCAACCCGCCCGTCCCGGAGACAGCTCAGAAAACGGAGGAGCGCGCGGCGTGGGAAAAAATCCTGCAGGCAGCGGCGGCGCATGATCTCGACGGAGATCGTGTGCTGCCCGTCAAACCCGGCGGTCTCGGTAGCGGTCTCGGTGGCGGTCTCGGTCAGCCTCAGGGTCCACGTCTCAATCTCTGTCTCGGTCGCAATTTCAGTCGCGATTACAGTCTTGGCATCGGTCTCGCGGGGCCAGAGTCGCCAGACTCGACTTTGAGCCAGCCGCGTGCAACACGCGGCGTGACGATGACGGCCAGCAGCAGCCAAGGAAGCGTCAACGGGTCGTGAACGAGCAACAGCCGCCGGAGCCTCGCCGGGGATCCCTACCCACTGCAAGAAGCGCGACGGCGGACGCTTACCTGCCGGACGCGGCTTTCTTGCCGGATGCGGTTTTCTTGCCGGACGCGGCTTTCTTGCCGGACGCGGTTTTCTTGCCGGACGCGGCTCTCCTGCCGGCTGCGGTCAGCACGGCGGTGACGGCGCAGAGGGATATCGCGTCGCTCATGCTTTCCAGCGGCCGGTTTCACAACGGGCCGGTAGTAACCTCGAGGTTGGGTGATCAGTGCTGCTCTACGGGGGTTGCCAATGCGAGGGCCTCGGTGATGAATCCCAGTGGGATGCGAGGGCCTGATGCGGCCGCTGTAGCGGTTATTCGTGCGAATCCTAGCGAAATCCTGAACATCCGTGAACCTTCTGCAAGCATCTGCAATTCCCTGGCGAAGATTCGCGATACCTTTAGTCTTCGCGAGGCTCGGCTTGTGGGGCGGCTGCAGGAGGCGCAGGAGCGGGCGGAGAGCGAGAGCAGGCGAGCGGCGCAGCTAGAGGGGCAGGTGGCGCAGATGATGCGCCGCATGGGGGAGGCGCAGCGCCTGGTGGCGGGGCTGGCGCTGAAGAACGCGGAGCTGCAGGGGGAGATGGCGCAGCTGATGCTGGCGCACATGGTGGTGGGGCTGGCGGAAGCAGGAGGGGGGGAGGTCTGTTGGGGGATGGGGAGGGGCGGCGGGAAGAGGGGGGGGGATGGAGGAAGGGCGAGGGGACAGTGAGGAGGTGGTTCAGCCCTCGGGCGGTAGGAGGGCGCAATCCGTGGATTTGCCTTTAAAGTAGACTCGATGGAAGAATGCATCGGATCGGAGAGCTAGGAGGTCATTCAGCCCTCGGGTCGTTAGGCTAGGTTGCGGTGAGCTACGGATAGCTTGTGGGTAGCCACGGATTTACGGTAGGTTGGGCGGTATGCTGAGATAGAACACAGCCTAGGAGGCCGAAGCCAGTCATGCTTCCTCCGTACCGACTGGCTGTTCTACACAGCTTTTCCCCCCCGTGCTGACACTCGTGACGCAGGAGTGCGGGGAGAACCATTGCGGCTGTTGCAGCCTTCATGGTTGTGGCGGATTGCAGCAGCCTTGTGGCTTTTTTCGCCTTTCCTGAAGGGAAAGTTTTCCGGCCAGACTCTGGGAGGGAGGGAGGGTAGGCAGACGAACTATTCCCCAACTGCAATCGGTAGGCAATCCTTCATGTGCTTGCTGCATTGTATGTAGCGGTTAAGCTCTATATACAAACATCATCCTCCCTATGTACATATGATACAACGCTTTTGATGTGTATGCTCAACTGGCAAAGCCATTGCGACTTCTCTACCCACTGCCAGCTATGCCAGATCCTCATCTTGATCCACCGAAGTATGCTCTACCTGGCTACAGCGCTCAGCCCTCCCAGGCACACACCACTCGCACCCCATCACGGCATCATCTTCCAGCTCTGCACAGCCTATGCCGCCTCATCTCCCTCTCACCCCATCAAAGTACGCCTGTGCCCCGCCCAGCTGCCACTGGTCAGTTCTTAGAAAGATACAATGGGCAGCTGGTCAGTCGGACCGACCAGCTGCCTCCGATGACTGATCCGATCCAGTGCAACATGTCAATGCCACCTCTCTATCCCCCTCCAGCCTTGCCTCTTCTCCCTCTCATCCCATCACAATATACCTGCGCTGTGCCCAGTCTGGCCACCAGTGGCCAGCCCTCATTGCCACATGCAAGAATCCAACCGCACCACACACCCACCCACCGTACTCTCATCCAAACCACCCCTCTACCCACCCCCAGCCTTTCCTCGTCTTCCTCTGATCGCATCACAATACGCCTGCGCCCAGCCTGCCTACCCATGGCCAGCCCATCCAACCGCACCAAACACCCAACCCGTTGCCCTCATCCACGCCACCCCTCTACCCACCCCAGCCTTCCCGCAGCTTCCCCTGATCCCATCAAAGTACGCCTGCGCCCGGCCCGGCTGCCAGTGGTCAGCCCTCATGGCCACATGCCCATCCGGCCTCACCAGGTAGAACGGGCATGCATCCCCGTGGTACCTCTCGTATGCATA